GGAAATTAAAATTTTTATCATTCACATATGACTTTATTTTTTCTGACATTCTCCTCTTACCTCTTTCCTTTCATTGGCCTCAGTAGAATAACTTCAATCTTGGAAGGAAAGTTGAAGAACGAATATGATTTCACCGGCAGAAATGAGCTGCCTGTGTAGCCCAGAGGTCATGAACTTTTCATGTAAAAGTTCAAGTAGTAAATATTTTAGGCTTTGCAGGCATTTCTGTCTCTGTCGCCACTGCTCAAGTCTGGCACTGTATCACAAAAGCAGCCTGGATCATACATAAACCAGTGGGTATAGCACTTTATTTACCAACATAAATAATCCGGACAGGGGGCCAGGTTTGAACTCCTGTCTGTGGTCTGTCCACCTCTGGTCTAGCCTGCCACTTCTGGGGACACATTCTATCATCAGGATTACGTTAGACAAGACTTTGCTCTACTGACAACAAACAGCATTTATAATTGTCTAAAAATATCAAACAAAGCTTGACTTCCTGAGTCGCGATGGAAATAAAAAATAAGGTGGTTGTGAAAGAAATCCCAACCTGAGAAAAGAATACAGGCATTCTAAAAATTAATGTGTGGGCAAGGAAATGCACTGTTTTTTTCTACCAAAGAAACAAGAAATGAGAAAGAAGCATGATAAGAAAACGGCCGCTACCTGGATTCTCTCACCTATGCCCCACATTTCCAGTTTGCATGGGCTTAAAGACACTGGCCTTTTCCAAGAGCCAGAGGCCCCAAATGGAAACTTGGCCCACCCTCTTTGCTATCTATGAATCCACAGAAAGATTCCTTGCGTGACCCTTTGACTCCTGAAAGCTACAATGCAGAGCTCTAGGCTGTTTTCTTCAGCACACTCAGCGGTGGGTGGATGAGATTCTTCCTCCCTCCCAGCACAGTGGGGGGCTTGTTCAGACTTGGCACAACTGGTCAACAGCCCCAACCCGCCTGGACAATAGGAACATTCAACAATCTGTAAGTTGGAGCCTCAACTCATTTGTCTTTTATGTAACTACATTGTTTTTCCATAAGGAGAATACTTAGCTGTGACCTAAGTCTTTCTATAAGTATATTGTTCAGGGGGTGGTACCAGAAAGACCAAATCTGTGCCCTCTCACAAAGCATTTCAACTGAAAACATATTTGGCAAGTCATTCAATAACCGGAGAAAAGAGTTTATGTTCTTTTCACGTAGTTCCATCTAATTTTGGATGACACCTCTTCTTGACCCTGCCGATCTCTGGACCTGCTGTCCCTTCAAGTTCTTGCCCTCCTGTTTCCATTGGTGAGTGGACTCCGGTGCAAACAGGACCCTGAGTCATGCCTGCTTCCGCATCTCAGTCCCTGTCCTCACAGACCATGACGGTCCCGCTCCTGCCACCATGCTGTATGCTCTAGGTCCTGTGGCTGGCGATGAAGCCTCCCTTGTCCACTCAAGTCAATTCTCTCCCTCTCTGGGTGCTGTGTGGGCTGTGAGCTTCCTTCGCAGGGTGCCAAAAGCATTTAGGGCCCAACACATTTCCTGTTTGAAAGCCTGCCTTAAGCACCACGGGACATTTATCATCCTTGGCTCCTCCTTGCACACCAAGGACTTGCCCCGCCTTGGGGATGACCCCCAAGGACTCCCCTCTCCCCACATTTCCAACCGTCCTCACCCCAGTTCAGCCAGTGTGGAAACAAAGGAGAGATGGTATAGACCTTAACACCTCAAAAGATACACCAACATTTTATAACCTTGAATTGCCACAGTCAGCAATGAGATCAGACACCTTCACCCTAGATTTAACACTTGGGGGAAAGGGGCTTTCCTGGTCCCCACTTTAAAAAAGCATAAAGATGAAGAGATAACATAATTTAGTAGGAAAGCAAAGGGAGATTGGAAACCCTAGATCCAGACCTGATTATATCTCTCAGTATTTTCACTTGAGCCTACATCCTTGGAGAAACTTCCAGAGGGCTTGAAACCAACTTTTTTTTTGCTGGGGATAGGATGAATGGATGTGAAGACTCAGGTTATAATATCAGGACCATGAGACCTGGTGTGGTGACTCACACCTGCAATTCCAGCACTTTGGGAGGCTGAGGCGAGAGGATTGCTTAGACCTAGGAGTTTGAGACCAGCCTAGGTAACATAAAAAATTAGCTAGGTGTGGTACCATACCTACAGTCCCAGCTACTCAGGAGGCTGAGGCTGAAGGATCACCTGAGCCCAGGAGGTCAAGGCTGTGGTGAGCCCTGATAGTGCTCTGTACTCCAGCCTGGGGGATGGAGTGAGACCTTGACTCAAAAAATAAAAGAAAGAAAGAAAAAAATTAGGGTCATGAATACAAGAAGATTGGAAAGAGATTAAGTCAAAAAAGCAAGTTCTGCATGTGTATATTTTATATATATATGTATATATGGTCATAGATGATGTATGCATATAAATACAGAGAGAGGACTGGAAAGATTCATCCTAAACTGGGCAGAGAGGAGTGTGCTGGGAGTGGTGCAGTGAGCAGGGACTTTGTTTTCTTCGAATGGAGAAGTCCACATTGCTTGACATGAGAGCAGGCAGCCTGGCTCTAGGACCTATACTCTTCGCTGTGGGACCTCTACATCTGCCTGCATCTCTGCTGCCCTTAAGCCCTTGGGTGGATCCAGCCAGCACAACAGGCAAACCGTAAAGCCAGATGATCTTTGTAGTTTTTCCATTTACTGAAAGTCTATGATTATCTAAAGTGAAAGAAGAAACACCAAAGGGAGGAGCAGAAAGGAATATGCATATCTGGTTACAACGCATTGCACACACCATGTTCCCTTGCAGAATACTTGGTTTTGCATTGCTTGTTTGCTTTTCCTCATGATCAGTTTCTTATGTAATGAGCTGACCTTTCTTCTGGATAAAATGAAAAAGAAGTTGGCGAACACTGATGCCATGAACCTCACTCTTTGCAAAGTCTCTAAAACAGGATTTAACTTTTGACCCAAACAAGTTGACACGATTCCTATTAAGCCACATTTCTCTGGCAGATTTAAGGCAAAGGTTTAAAGAAAAGATAAAAGGGTAAGGGGTAAGTTCTGAGCACCACATGAACAGGCCTCTGATTGACTCTGACTCCGGGCAGCAGGCTTTTCCTGCTAACAAAGCGAGGATGGAGCAAAAGGTCGGAAAGCTTTGGCAGAGAATGCTATTTTGCCAATGACACATGCTGATAGAATCAGGGTATGAGCAATGATAGAGCCATTATCTAGAGAAAAAGCAAGCCCCTGAGGCATTACAAGATTGAGGAATTTTGCAGAGTAGTGATTAAAGCCATGGACAAACCAGATTTCAAGCAGGATTTTCCTTTCAGGAGACATCTTAGGGCAACTGGCCCACTGGATGTCAGTGCCTTCTAATGGAAGGAAGAATGTCAGGGCTCTGGCCTGGAGAATGATGAATGAGAAAGCACTTGTTTATTGACATAGCAAACATCATTCCCCTCACCCCTTCCCCCTAAAACCTTCATCTAAGATGTCTGTACAAACCCTTCTGGTTAAGCCTCAATTTAAAAAAACAAATCATATAAAATTTGTTCTGGTCTCTTGCACTGAAGTTTTTCTGCTGTTAAGGAGCAGATGGGGTTTGTACTCGGAAGGAACACATCGTTTCTAGGTTTCTGGCCTTCTGTAGGAGATACTAAATAAGATGTTAATTTAAGGTCTGTAATATTTCTTGCTATAGTTGCATCAAAAAGAGAAAAAGGTCACTGTAAAATTTAAAGCCCAAGAGGGACCTATAATTTCAAGATGTGCAACAAAGAAAATCTTCCCAAGAACATATAAGAAATTACAGAAAATATTTACCCACAGTTATAAATGAAAAACACAGGGAAGAAAATCAAGTGGGAAAGAAAGAATAAGTAAACAGAGTCGAAACAGCCCATTAAATCTTTTTCATAAATGCTTTTTCTTAAGATCTGAGAAATAATTTGCTAGGTCAAAAAAATTAATGATGGCATAAAAATTAACCAATCTTTATGGTTCACATGATTTTGACAAGTTTTTGTTCATGAGAAAATGCCAAGTTTCCCTCATGGTCCTTTTCTTCAATCATAAGCCTAAGTGAGAATCTGAGTTTTATTCCCATTTAACTGACTCGGAGCTCCTGCCACATACACCTTTGAATGTGTATGAGGGCTCGATGACATCACCCTCCAATCTACTGGTGGGGACATTATATTAACACACATACGCCAAGAGTTCCAACTGTCAGCAGAGCCTACCTGGTCCACTGAATCAAATGATCCTACTAGAATAACCATTACCTCTGCACGTGCCATTGAGGAAGCCGGCCACAAAACACTGCTCAGAGGCAGGAAGTCACTTTGTAGAAATATATGGTTTGTACGGTCCCACTTAGTTAAAAGCATTTTAAAAGCATCTCTGTGTATCTGTGTTGTGCGTATGTGTGTGTGCACATGTAGAAACAAACAAACCAGACCAGAACAAACCAGACAAACCAGGGTAGACACCTTCACTCTTTACTACCTATACTTATCTACAGGGCGTGATTTGGTAGATTTTTTCTTGACTTGGTGGGGTGTCACTCTATTGCCCAAGCTATAGTGCAGTGGCAGGATCACAACTCACCGCAGCCTCCACCTCCTGGGTTCAGGCGATCCTTCCGCCTCTTTAGTAACTGGGACTACAAGCATGCACGACCACATCTGGCTATTTTTGAAAAATTTTTTGTAGAGATGAGGTCTTGTCATGTTGGCCAGGCTGGTCTCGAACTCCTGGGCTTCAGCAAACCTCTCTCCTTGGTCTCCCAAAGTGCTGGGATTACAGGCATGAGCTACCACACCTGACAGGCTTTCTTTTAAACAATTAGCAGTAATTTCTTTGGTAATTAAACATGTATTTTTACAGTCAAATTAGTCTGTACTGTGCCTTAGAGTTTATAGAAGGCTCTTGCAGACCCTGCTCCCTCTACTCTGATCAAAGCAACATGAAAACACCCACGCCTCACCTCGGCACTCCACGTCGGGGTCTCCCCAGAAGAGCTCCTGGCACTCGCTGCAGGTGCGGCCTCCAAACCCAGGCATGCACTGGCACTGCCCCGTGAACTGCGGCCAGAACACAGACTTTGGTCAAGTGGGCTTCAGGGCACAATCAGTTGTCATTTGTTTTTCTTGCTGCCAAGGAGAAGTGGAACCGAACTGTCTGCCTGAGAAGACCTCTAAGGACTAGGAAAAGGGACTCTAACTTTGATCTTGGGTGCCAAGGGCCTCACACCATTATCATCTCCTAATTACCCTTTTGCAGTGACCTTGGGAATGTCTTCGTACATTACGTTTTATTGACATGTTTCCTCACTTTTATTCTCACAGATCAGTAACCATCCTAGGCCACCTCTGACTCACCTAAGGGAGTATGTCATTCTTAATACGTATCAGGAAGCAACAGTAATTTTGACAATGCTGGATATGGCTATTTGGTTCCTTTCATGTTAAGTCGCTAAGAAAAAAGCCTGATTCAGTGGCCAGGCACCGAAGAGAAATGGCACCCCTTTGTCCATTCTCAGGTGAGTCTGCATCTGCAGCTGGGGCACCATATTGCAATGCTATGAACGCGTCCGAAGGGAACTCTGCACACAGTTAGGTAGTCCCAGCCAAGGGGGCAAGCAAAGGCTGATAGCCAGCCTTTGCTGTGTTTGCCAAGCTTTGTGTTTTGGTGTCTTTCTCTAACAAGGGCAGAGTGCTGAATGGGTTAGCTGTCACCTGAGCTCATCAAGACATCACCCCTGGCAACAACCCCTCACCTCATTACAAGATGGTCCAAAGGAATGAGCGGTGTTGCAGTTGCATGGGTCACACCCAGTGCCACTGGCCAGCTGCCAGGTATTGGGTGCACAGCGGTCACAGTTCTGCCCAATCACATTAGGAAGACATAAGCACTGACCAGTGGCTTTGTCACACTGGCAGTCAGAGCCATTACAGTGGTCCTGCACGGTGCCCAGGTAATTGCAGACACACTCTGAAAGACAAATGTCATCACATTTCCAAGAAGTTAGCTACTCTAAACAGCAAGCTATTCCCTTTCTAGATCTTGATCTTGAAATGCAAAGAAAAATAGAATCAGAAGTGACCAAATAACAAATCTAAAATTACTGTTCTTTATAAGTTCTTATGATGTCTTACACAGTTCTGACATTCCCTAGGCAGATACACATAATGATACCTTTTGCCTAAAAGTATGTTCAAAATACATAGATTTAACAAGATGCTGGTGAATCCTTTTAAAATTAAAGATTAAACTGAAAAATAATTTTTAAAAATGCCAGTGGGAAAATTGAATAATATCAAACTCTTGGCAGGGAATAGCAGCAATAAATACGTTTGAGCTAGCAGGTAGAAGCCCTTGAAGAGACCAAGGCTTTAAGGAATCCAGTCCTGCTGGTCCCCAACATTCCTCCATTTATACAAACAGAGCCAGGGACCTGGGGGCTTTACAGCTGCAGCAGGAAGAAACGCAGTCTGATCTCTTGATAAGAGAGAAATAAAGAGAGATTGTAGAGACATGGCTTCTTTCTCTCCATTTAACTGGATGGCTCTTATGCTATCAGGAAAGGCATGGACCAGAGTATTTAACATCTCTAAGTTCATCCAACCTGCTAGTTCATGGGCAGAACATAGCCTCCATAAGCTCTACTGGATGGTATTTATCATGGAGACAGCTATGTGGGTTTTCCCCTTTCGTTATCTCTTCCATGGAAATGAGCCACATCTGGAGGCTGCCAGAAAAAAATGAGGATGTAAAGAAAAAGAATTCAATCTTTTCTTTCTTTTGTTGTAAGTGAAATTTCACCTCTTGGAATAAGTGTTTTCCCAAGTGAAATAAAATCTTCTGAGTATGAAAAAAAAAAAGGCAGAAATCATTCTAACAAGTCAGCAGAGAACAAATGAGCATCTTACTGCGACAATCCTGCCGGAGGGCGTCACCATAGTACCCGTATCGGCAGTGCTGGCAATGATTCCCCTCCGTGTGGTACAGGCACTTGAGGCACCTTCCAGTCTCCTTGTCACAGGCTTCTGGATCTGTCATGTCAATGTTGTGGTGACACTGGCAAGGCTGACATGACCCTCCCACATCCGAGGGATTGCCAAAGAATCCTGAGGCACATTCGTCACATCTGGAGCCTATTGTCCAATAAAAGCAAGCACAAGACTTTCACCTTGTTGACTGAAAAGCTCACCAGTCCCCTGACATTACTGCCTAAGACAGCTGACGGCAGTAGTGTCGTCTTCATGGGAAGATGCTAGGTACAGAGCCCAGGATGATGGCATCTGAGAGGGAACAAAGAGGCTTTTAGTTGTGAGGGGAAAGAAGTATTCTGCAGACTATCACTGCTGTAGCAGCCTCGGGGGCCATAACTGGGCATGGACAGTTATGAGAAGGGTCCCTGGCATGTGGGACTTGAGCTTTTAACTACACAGGGATGGCTGAAGTTGGGAGCTACATAAGAATCAAACAATGTAAAGTGTGAAATGATGTTAAACTCTGAATCTGAGGATTATATAAACTGAAAAATTACAGCTTCTTAGTGAACAACCTGAAAAACGGAATTCTTAATGACGAACAATTGACCTAAGAAGTCCTGAAATTACATGCAAGAAATATGTAATGAGTGATGTATAAGCATAACTAGAATTTGAAACAGTGGCTTCAAGGATAAAAGGGAGCTTATTTTCACAACTAGCTTCATTCTTGAGATCATGAGAGTATAATAAACAGTGAAGAATATATTCAACAATCTGGTGATTCTTCAGAAGATAACAGGCTTTTCTGTCCTCTGCTGACCATTTGGCCACTTCACCGTTTTCAGACATTTCTGCCAGGAGTTGGATAAGGAAAAGAAGTCAGATATAAATTAATAATTTTACTTTTTAATAAGGAAAAGTATTTCATGAAGTTTTGTTTACAGATTTAAATGAGTTTGCTATCTTGCTTTGTTACAATATTCTTATCAGGGACTTAAGAACTGACTCCACCCCATGTGCCAAACAGAAAAAGAGTATCTTTTCCATTACGGAATCTAACTTTAACTTTTAATTAAAAATTGTACAGATGAACTTTTTTTTTTCAAGTTGGCGTCTTACTCTGTCACGCAAACTGGAGTGCAGTGGCATCATCATGGCTCACTGCAGCCGTGAATTCCTGGGCTCAAGTTATCCACTTTCTTCAGTCTTCCGAGTAGCTGAGACTACAGGTATACCTTGCCACATCTGGCTAATTTAAAAATTTTTCATAAAGATGAGGTCTTGCTATATTGCCCAGGCTGGTCTCAAACTCCTGGGCTCAAGAGACCTCTCCTGCTTGCGGCTCTCAAAGTGTTAGGATTACAGGAGTAAGCCACTGCACCCAATCCAAAATGAACTTAACTGATTCACTCTTCATCTTTTTTTTATTAACAATGAACTCTTGAAGACAATCTTTTCCTCCCTCTTTGTGCATGACTTACCAGTATATCCAGGATCACAAACACACGCAAGCTGTAAAGTAACAGGATCTTGATAACAGCTCCTGGCAAACTGGCGTCCACTGTCAGGACCATCTGGGCAAGGGCAAGGGCGGCAGTGATCTCCAGACCCAATGATGGGGTCGCCATAGTAACCAGCCAAGCACCTGCATCAGTCACAGAAGAGAGTGAGTCATGACCCACAGTTATAAGAAACTTGTTCCAAGGAAAGTCTTAGAACCTGTGTTCTGTTTGGGATCATTCTTCCCTAATTCCTCATGTTTCCATATGGAGGACTTTGCATTGGAGCAACGTTCTCAAACTCCAGCTCCGATCAGAAACACCTGGAGGAGCTATGAAAACAGACTGCTGGGCTCCTCCCCCTGAGTTTCTAATTTGGTAGGTCCCAGGTGATACTGAAGCTGCAGCTCTAGGGATCATACTTGCCGGACCACTGCATTAGGGTGATACCTATGCAGTGGTGCATGTGTACCATATTGTTCCATCAGAGGCTTTCCCTGGGCATCTGGCTCTACTCCCTCCTTGCGTAAAGGAGTCTGGCCTAGTGGAAGTGGCTTATATTTGCCTCTGTCAGTGCCTGGGAGGGGTGATGTATTAACAGGCACGTGATGATCACAGGTCTAAAGCCATGTCCAGCTTTTACCAGTACTAGAGCCAGTGGGGATGCTGTATGATGCCTGTGTTTGTCTTTCAGGTGGTTCCAAACTCAGGCAGGGATGAGAGATGTTACTTATTAGCTCCAAAATCCAACAAGTCAGTCCCACCCTTTAATGACTACAAACCCATGGAGGTTAAAGGATTTGCAAAGCTCACACATCTGTGAAATAAAGAGCCAGGGTTTGAATTCAGCCTCCTGACTTCTAGCAAGGCATTCTTTTACTATGACATGCTGCTTCTCAAGATGAATGGTAATGAAATTACTTTTTTATTTCCTATAACATAAGAGCTTGAAGGAATTTTGGAGATGATCTAGTCCAACTTAGTTATCCTACATATAGAAAGCTGGATACTCTAACTCATTCAGGTTTATAAAGCAAGTTAGAAGCAGAACTGGGCCAGGAACTGAGGTCTAAGAATTTATGATTGACTTTATTTTTCATGTCTTTTGGAGGCAGAGGTTAACTTTTTTTTTCAAGGGGGGCAAGGATGAAAAAATTAGAAGACAGCTGTTCACAGGAAATTAACCATCTACTGACTTAGACACAGAAATAATATAAAATAATATTTCCCAATTATTTTCTGGGGAAATCTATGGTAATGAAGCAATTTTGTACAATGGTTTCTGAGAAAGTTTCTATAAGACTTTTCTAGGTAAAATAAATCCAAATACATCATGATAGAAATTGAGTGTTCATTCTTGATCCCCCCAGGAATAATCTAAACACAGAACCTCTTTAAATTCACAGGACTGAAACTCTGTTCATCCTGAAATGAGAAAAAGAATGATGAGCAATTGGCTCAAATGAGATAGAATTCCAAGTATCTTAAAATAAAGAGTTGTTATTCAAATGTAGGGTTAAAAATATTTCTGTCTCTCATACCCTTTTCTCCTATAAGAAACCTAAACCCTTTACAGATAAAATCCAAAGCCAGTCACAAACATCAACCTAGCCATTCTCACAGGATGTTCTTTCAAATACATTCCACAGTGTGTCTGATTTTGAATTGGCATTGTGGCAGCCATCTTTGTTGTTTACCTCTGTTCCCCACCCAACTCTCTTCTCCTTGTTAATCTGCTTTTCTTATCTGTCTCTCATACTTATTCTTTATCTCCCTGGAAAGAACAGTAACAAGAAAAAAATGTCATTACTATATGAATTTCCAGGCTGGGCACAGTGGCTCAGCCTGTAATCCCAGCACTTTAGGAGGCCGAGGTGGGAGGATTACTTGAGCCAAGGTGTTCAAGACCAGCCTGGGCAACAGTGAGACCTCGTCACTACAAAAAAACCAAAAAACAAAATTAGTTGGGCAGGGAAATGTACGCCTCGGGAGGCTGAAGTGAAAGGATCCCCTGAGCCCAGGAGATTGAGGCTATGGTGAGTCATGATCGTACCACTGCACTTCAGCGTGACTGAGTAAGACCTAAACTCAAAAAATAAAAATAATAAAAATAAAAGATATATAGATAAATTTCCTTCTTTTGCTCTTGTAATAACTGTGTCCTTGTCATCTTTCTATAACACGATTTTATGGTTGGAAGCGATAACTTTTACTCAAAGTAGTAGTCACTGGGATCTCAAAATTCTTGAATACCACTCTAAGCATTGAGCCAAGAGTCATGTCTTTTCCTCGATGGACATCTTTGTGCCAAGGGTTAATCAACATATTCAATTTTCACTAGCAAGTTCTCTTTCATCTGATGAGCAACTCTGGCCTTGACTGAGTACTTGCTGAAATGTTTCACAAGTGGTTTTTTAAAATAAAAGTCTAGCCGGGCTCGATGGCTCAGCCTGTAATTCTGTGCCTTGGGAGGCTGAGGTGAGTGGATTGCCTGAGCCCGCGGGTTCGAGACCCGCCTGGGCAACTTGGCGAGACCTCATCTCTACAATAAATTAAAAAAATCAGCCGGGCGTGGTAGCGCGTGCCTGTAGTTCCGGCTACTCGGAAGGCTGAGGCGGAAGGATCGCCGGAGCCCAGTAAGTCGAGGCTGCGGTGGCTGGGAGCAGCCACTGCACTCCAGTTTGGGCGACAGAATGAGACTCCAACTCAAAAAATAAAATAAAATAAAATAAAATAAAAATCTAGCCGGGCATGGTGGCTCACATCTGTAATCCCAGTACTTTGGGAAGCCAAGGTGAGAGGATTGCCTGAGCTCAGTAAGAGATTGAAATCAGCTTGGGCAACATGGCAAGACTTGTCTCTACAAAATAATCAAAAAATTAACCAGGTGTGGTGGCATGCGCCTGTAGTTCCAGCTACTTAGAAGGCTGTGGTGGAAGAATTGCCTGAGCACAGTAGGTTAAGGCTGTGGCAGCCATGATAGTACAACTGCACTCTAGCCTGGGTGACAGAGTGAAACTCCAACTAAAAAAAAAAATTCCATGAAGGGTGAACTGCTATTTGCAGAAAGAAAACATTGATGTGGAATGGTGAAGACTATCACCCTCTCCAAAAAAAGCAGGCTGTAATAACATTTCTGTATTTCTTAATTAGTAATGAACAGTATAAGTCAGCATGTAATTTTTTTTTTTAAAGACAAGCTCTCACTCTATCACCCAGGCTGGGCTCAGCTGATCTTTTTACCTCAGCCTCCCCAGAAGCTGAGACTACAGGCACATGCCACCATCCATGACTTAGGTTTTTTTTAATTTCTTTTTTAAAAAATTATTTTATTTTATTTTAAAGATGTGGGGTATAATTTAGGATTAGGTATACAAATGGTCATTGCACAGGTAAAGTTTGGGTTTCCCTTTGGTCCCCACTTTGCCTGGTTTGAGATCAAGTATCCTTATTTATGTTGTGTGCCGCCCACCCCCACCCTGGCAGTATCGTGCTACTGCCAATCCCTTTAGAAGAGAGTTCTTGTTATGTCACCTGGTCTTGAACTCTGGGCTCAAGCAATCCTCCCGCCTTGGCCTCTAAAGTGATGAGATTACAGACGTGAGCAACTGTGCCTGGTCAGCATGCAATTTTTTGATATGGACTATTTTTATTTACTGAACTAGCCTATTAATGTTAAGGAAGGCACATTCTATCTCCCAGTCTCACTATATACCTAGGGCAGTGCTTTGTATCCACAACAATTACTCTACTGACATTCATTAATTGGAGAATAGAGTACTCAGGCACATTTTACACAGTCTCCTGGAAACTGTAGTTGCATAAAATGTTTTCAAAACAAAGCTATTTAAAATGACTAATCCCATTTGGATTAGTTTCTACTTTGACCTAAATTAGGTATTAGCATTTCACAACTCTCATCCTAGGCCAGAATCTGCTGAGACAGAGAGATCATTTCTACATAGACCTATGGTCAACTCTAGGATGATTCTCCCTATCAGTTTAGTTCTCTGCTGCAGTATCCTCAGCACCAAATGGTGCCTGGCACATAGAAGGTGTCATCTAAATATGTACTGGATATATAAATGAGTTTCTAGAAAATACTGAAGCGGAATAAATGAGTGAGCCATCTGGAGCCTGGTAGAGATTAATTCTGTGGCTTTTCTAAGATGTTGTTTGCTCAGCCGAAGACCATCTCATTCTCTTTACTTTCAGTGCCCCACGTACCTCTCACAGTTATGACCCGTGGTATAGTCCTGGCAGCTCAAGCACTCCCCTGTCACCGAGTCGCAGTCATCTGCATGGCCATTGCACTGGCAGGGCTGGCAACTAGGAAAGCCCCAGTGCCCAGGTAAGCACCGGTCACACTGTCGAGCGTACACTCCCTGGAAACAGTGGCACTGTCCAGTGACAGGATCACAGAAGGCATTGACAGATCCTTGCAGATGGCACTCACAAGCTAAAGAAACAGGCAACCAAAGAACAGCCTTGAAAAATTCATTCAATAGAAACACACTCCTTTTATAAGCACCTGCCCCAATTCAGAATGCTCAGGTTCCATGATCAACTACTGGAGCGAAGCGTCGCCTCCGTGTGATGGGACCCTCACCAGGATTGCTCAGTTAATCTCAATGAATACATGATAGCACTTCTGAAGAACTTACGTTTGCATCCACTGGGGCCAAAGCCAAATGTTCCAGGTGCACATCTGTCGCAGGTTCTTCCAACCACGTTTGGCCGGCACTGGCACTGGCCTCCATTGGGGTCACACACAGAACTTAATGAACCCTGAGGGTCGCATTCACAAGCTGCAGAGTAGAGACAGGCCAGAACCTATGATATGGAGCAGCATGTCACACCTGTCTCTGAACTGCTCTGCTTTCTTTCCTCAAGCTGTCACTGGTCCTTTCTTCTTTACTATATTGGCTTATTCAGAATTCTGGCTTAAACCAGTATCATCCCTAGGATGAGTGGAAGAATAAAAAGAGGAGGCAGAGCTGACAAATCAAAGCAGTTTTTCTAGGCAGGAGGTCATTAAGGTTTTCCCCCCTTGCCTTCAAAACTCAACTATCACAGGACATTAGACCAAAGCCCAGTGACCTCCAGGGGTTGGTCTGACCTTTCAAAGAGAAAAACATACATTTCAGTTATGTGATGCTTCTCTGATTCCAGCCACACTCCCCACCCTGCCTATGAAAAAGCTCTATCCTTGTGGACTTTTCCCCTGCCACCTGTTATGTGTGCATTTCTTAAGTATCGATTCCATCTTCAGTGGTGGTCTGTCACTAAAAATGTTACTTAAAAGGATAAAGACAAACTGTGGCAGAGACACAATTTCCTTTGTGCTGTCTATCACAGAACTACAGGGCATGCATCCTGAGGCAACTTCTGTGCCAAGAATTCTCAGAGCCGGAAGTAGCATCCACTGCAGCTGCTAAGCCATACCTACCCAGGCCCCTCTGGTGTAGCAAGGCAGAAATGCTAAAGATTATGTTTCTGCAAACGTCTGTCATCGGCGTTTTCACAACGCTTCTGCTGTTCTCCAGACATCGGTATCTCTGAAAGGTTTCCCAGGCACTGTTGGTGACCAACCCATCTCCTGAACCTCCTGTGGTGAACATGTCCAGGGATTTACAGTATGGCATGAGAACAAGCTGTGAAGAAACCAGAACAGCCAAACATCCTTCTGGTGGTGTCCACAGCACCAGTTAAAGCAACAGTTAAAGCAACAGACACACAAAAACCATAAATGCTTCTTTGACTCTTGAACAGAAAGAATTAGTCTCATTAAATAAGGTGAAAATCTTTCCATTCTTAAATACATTTGCCAGAAAAAGTTTAGATAGTCTTCATATAGCTTGATTTTTTTTTTTTTTTTAAGAGACGAGGTCTCACTATGTTATCCAGGCTTGTCTTGAACTCCCGGGCTCAAGCAATCCTCCCTGTCTCGGCCTCCCAGGTTTTGTGTCCCAGTTTGTGCTGGGATCACAGGCATAAGCCACTGCACCCAGCCAGCTTGATGGTTTTTGAAATGCCATTTTTTAATGCACTGTGATTTTTCAGAAGGAAGCTGCTTGAATAAGTCCTTTCAAAAAGGTGGAGTAAAAGCCAAGTAACCTTGGAGGCAAGAAAGAATGATTCTGCTTAACTGCTCAGCTCAGCACTACACCTTGACTAAACATCCTGGGAAGCAGTCGGACATGTGCAAACCCGAAGTGATCTTGAACTTACAGAATCGATCAGCGTGTAGGGGCTCTCCACATCGATATCCGAGGAGGTGTACTGAGGCAGCTCCAACCTCACTGTGTAGTTCATACCCTTCTCAAAGCACACTGGGTGAGGAAGGACGACATATCTACCACAAAACAAAAAACAGCAATAAAAGTCAACCTTTATGCATCTAAAAAACATTAAATTTAAAGTGAACAAAAGTTGAGTGGTGATAATTCCAAAGAAAGTAAGTCAATGGTTAATGTCTGGCTCTGAAATGATAATTCAGCAACTCACAAGATACTAGAAAAATATGAATTTGTGTATTCGTTCTGGTGAGCTGCAAGTCAAGGTGACACTGACCTCGAGCCTGGTGATAACGACACCACCTGGTTGTCATCATCGGGAACAGTATTACCACATCGGCTGCTGGTTGGAATCTTTCCAGGTCGCTGCACTGTGATGACAGCTTTTTCCCAGTGGTCGGGGAGCTAGAAATAAACAATCAGAAGGACCATCTGCAGGTACCCACTACCACCTGTTCATATAAAGACCTCCCCAAATCGATCATTTTCCAACTTCAAGTAGAAAACACACAGTCGCTTTTCCCTTCCCTCTTTACCATTTCCTTTGCTCTTTCCCAGTTCCCGCCCAAATCCCTTCTCCCCTGGGCACTGAAATACCTCGGGACTGTACTCTCTGCCTATTCCCAGAGTCCTTTTCAGTTCACTTTAAAGCAGCCCAGATAATGACAATCCCTTGCTCAAAATCCTTCAATAGCTTCCTGTGAAAGTACTATCCAAATGGCAGTACTGATCCCCATTTTTGCTACTGCATCTTCAACCATATCTCTTATCCAGCTTTATGGAGCAATTCTCAAGAAAGCCTCTTTTCTCTTCCCTGCTCACACTATTCCTGACTTCCTTTTACAGCAACTTAATACAATTCCATTCACACTTTAAGGCCTGGATCTGATCCTCTCTGAAACATTTTGGTAGCCCCTGACTCAGCTTGGCTGGTTGAACCCCTCTGTCTTCCAGCACCATTTTATCTCTGAGCTGTTATACTGTCACCTTCAGCCTCTAGGGGTTTGTACCTGTCACCTCGCAGCCAAGCTGTGAGGGGAAGGAGAAGATTTGATACATTCTCATCACCATAAATTGGGTGCCTATTAGGCTAAGCATGTAACAAGGGATTGCTACATGTCTGAGAAGCAGGATTCAAGAAAAAGGTACATTTTAACTTTCATGAAGGAGCTTAGAAAGTCAGAGTCTGATTCGTTCTAGTATAACCTTCAAATTTTATAAAAACATATAGTACCCATTAGCAGTATTTTTCTACTAATACTCCCTTTCCCCCTCCCCCGCCAGCCCATGAAGGGGTTTCTTTACCTGTGGTTCATAGCGAATGAGGATGTCGTACTCCATGGAATACGGTATGTTGTCAATGAAAAACTCCAAATAACCCCCTTCGGGCACTCGGACGAAGCCAGCTCCAGTCCAGGAAGGAATCCTGTCCTGGATATACTGTCGTTCCACTATGCTGACTCCCTGACAACAAGGTAAACAGCAGTTATGCTTTATTTGAAATGGCATTCAATTCTATTTCACAGTCAAAGAAATTAGAAGTCACCCACAGATTCAAAACTATGGCTACTTTATATCAAAATGATGGTTATCTTTTATCTATTTTGTAATGGTCACATTTCCCTGACACATTGTAAAAAGTTTTGAATCTATAAACAGGAAATTGGTTTTAGTTTTATGGGACTCTGAAGATGGGACTCAAAGGCTTGGGACAGACTTCATGTGACATAACCAGGGGCTAAGCACAAAATAAAAAAGAGAATATCCCAAGGGCTGTTATAAGCAAGTCTAGGAATAATGAGTTATTTCCCAGATTCTTTTTAAGGCCAGCCCATTATCTATTAGATTTATTTCTATCTCTCTCATTGGCATTAGTTTCAGGCTGTAAGTACAGGTAATGAAACTTGATATGAAAACGAACATTCACAACTGATGAGTTAATTCTCATTAATTCTTTACAGGGCTATTTTCCAATACCTGTGGTTGGCCGTCTCCAAAATGGCTGCCATCCATTCCTTCATTCCCTGTGTGTAGCTTTACCCACCAAATGATGTAATCCTATCCAAGAATCTGGGCTGGGCTTGTGACTTATGACCAACAGAATGTGAGAAAATGACATTCTGGGACTTCTGAGCCCAGACTTAAAGAGACTTGGCAGCTTCTGTTTCCTCTTCTTGGAAACCAGAAGCCATGTAAGAAGTCTCAATATCCTGACTCCACCACGCTCCAAGAGGGCTGCTTGGAGAGGTTGTGTGGCGAGGAATGCCCAGCCAGCCTCCAGCTGTTTCAGTCATCACAGTTCAAGTGCCAGACATACATTTAAAGCCACTAAAATTGGGGATGATAATATCCTTGCCTGGGTATTTGTCATGTTAGATAAACAGTAACTTTGGAACACAAGTAGAGAAGAAAACTTTTTTATAGAGACAAATTTCTTCAACCAACCAAAAGTCTTATTAGTGAATGTTCTAAAGTTTGCTTGTGAGTTATAGATTTACTTACTTTTAAAAATGACGTTCTTAAGAATGCATGGTCTTGATTCTTATTTTGTGCTGACAAAAACTACAAAAATGCTTCTGAAGTGGTTCTTTACAAAGCATATATGTGCCATTATGGCCCTCAAATGCCACTTTACCAACCCACCAGCACTCCCCTACTTACAGGTCCCAAGTTGGCTCCTTCTGCTTCATACAGGTAGTGATCCAAGGTGGTGAAGTAGTAGCCAGATTCCACGTCATTACATTGACGTCCGATCATGTGAGGCCGACAGGAGCACTGGCCTGACTCTGCAGAGCAACTGAAAGGAAGGAGAAGTGGGTTAGCTGTGATTATCATATACACAAGTCAGCTTGCTGGAAGTAGGTCTACAGTTTCCATTAAATGTTAAATGTGGCCAGGTGCAATGGCTCAAACCCGTCATTCCAGCACTTTGGGAAGCCAAGATGGGAGGACTGCTTGTGTCCAGGAGTCTGAGACTAGCCTAGGCAACATAGAAAGACTTTGTCTCTACAAAAAAAAAAAAAAAAATCCAAAAATTACATATGCCTGGTGGTATGCACCTGTAGTCCCAGCTACTTGGAGGCTGAGGTACACTTGAGCCCAGGACGTAGAGGCTGCAGTGAGCTGTGTTTGTGCCACTATAGTCTAGCCTAGATGACTGAGTATAATGGCAAAATATCTATATAACAGTATCTTTTTTTCCCCCCAAATATGAAAAAAATAGTGTCTCAGAATTATATTTGTTCCTTGGTATACACAGGGTATCGGTTCCAGGACCCCAGCATATATCAAAATCCATACTCAAGTTCAATAGTCAGTCCTGTGGAACCCACATATACAAAAGTGAGTCCTCTGTATACATGGGTTTTGAATCCTGTATTTTCTGAGTTTGGTTGAGAAAAAATCCGCATGTAAGTAGGCCCATGCAGTTCAAACCCACGTTGTTCAGGAGTTCATTGTAATCCTAAACTCCAAAGCATGACAGTGAAAGCCTCTGTGACCAGATCTCAGTTTCTTTCCCTTCCCCTCTCTCCATTCATACCAAGTCAAGGTCTTCTACAGGCATTACAAACTCTCTTGCATTGGCATTGTATATCTTTTGCTTTGTTTCCAAGTACAACCCTTTTCCTGGGCCTTAGGCCTAAAGATCCAACCTGTGAAGGACATCTCCAACCTGACTACCCCAGGGGCACCCCAAACCAATGGATTCAAAATGGAAGCCTGCAATCTATCCCATGTTTTCCATTGGAGTAAAGGCACCCCAGCCACTGAATCAACTAAGTCAGAAGTATAGAAGTTATTCTTAAAAATCCAACAAGAACTAAATTCTGTAATTTCCCCCTCTGCATCTTGTGTTGCTCTCTGTCTACTGGTTAATGCTACACTTTGCTTCTCTTCTCTAGCTCACAGTTAAAGTAGTAACAGTCTTCTAACTGGCATCTTTGTTGCCAGTCCTGCAACTTCCCAACCAAGCTGTGACACTCTACATAGCTGCCCAAGCGACCTTTGTAAGGTGTATCAACCATATCACTTTCTGGCACAATGACCTTGGGAAGGTGCACCAGGCCTTCTATAACCTGGCCCTTCTCCACCTGCTCAGTCTCTCCTGTCCCCAGACCTCCTCAACCACACTGAACTACTGGCAATTTCTCAAATGCATGAGATGATTCTTGGCACCTTTCCTTTACTTATGTTGTTCCTGCAGCCCGGAATGTCATTCTCCCTTATCCCTAGGCAAAGATATGCCCATTCTGCTTTCAAGACTCAGCTCACAAGTGAACCCAGCCGTAGCACTTCCTGACCACCCCTGATTCCATAAAATAAACTTCTCCTTCATGATACCACCTCCTTGAGGGAAAAAAAAACAATGTATTTTCCCAACATCTGCAACAAAGCTTACCACATGGAAGGTGTTCCTTCAAGTCAAGGCACAGAGCCTTCACATCCTACTTATTTGTCAAAGCCGAGCTCAGCTTCTCTCCCTCTGACAAAGTCCTGTTAAGTTCCCTCCCTTTTCCATTCTCAAGTGGCTCTTTTTGAGGCCTTAGTTGTTACTTATCCGTGTTGCTCTTAAGGGATTGGTTGTTTTCTTCCTTGTAGCATAATTATCAAAGATCTCACTAATCCCTAACAGACTGTAAACTCCTGGAGGGGCTATACTATGCCTGATTCACCTTGGTCACCCCACCCCACCCCACCCACTCAGCAAACACTAGTTTGACAAATAAATGAAGGATATACCTTATACATTTAAAAATATATATAGAGAAAAAAGAATATGAGGTCTTATATAAATAAGCTTTTTTTTTTTTTTTTTTAAAGTCAGGAGGCTTATTCTGTTGCCCAAACTGGAGAGCAGTGACATGATTATGACTCACTGCAGCCTCAACCTCCTGTGCTCAGGCAATCTTTCTGCCTCAGCCTCCTGAATGGCTGTGACCACAGGTGTGCACTACCATCCCAGATAATTTTTAAATTTTTTTGTAGAGATGAGGTCTTGTTATGTTGCCTAAGCTGGTCTTGAACACCTAGGCTCAAACGATCCTTCTGCCTCAGCCTCCCAAAGTGCTGGAACTGTAGGTGCAAGACACTGTGCCCAGACTATAAACTCTTTTAAATTAATCATTACTATTTTAGGTAATAAAGGCCACTGGATAAACTGTAACATGAATATACTCATTTTGTTCTCAGTCTACATCTCTCTTTGTCTTTTTCCTTAGTATAAGGTTTTTGTCTACAAAGTAAAACCCCAAATACATGCATCCATTTTTACTTCATTAAAAGACAAGCTGTGGTTTGGAATTGTTCATTCCCAAAGTTATTCCTGTTTCTTTTCTTTTCTCATCCCAAAGCTCATCTTAAACCAAATACCTAAGGCAAGTTGCAAATGACTCTCAGCGGTTTACTAAAAATGTCCCCAGCAGCCCTGTCCTGGTCCAGCTGAAGTCCTCATCCCATACATCATGCTGTTATCCCACAGGAATATGAATTCTTAACATCCTGGAGCCAATTCCCAGGAGAGGAAAGCTTGTTGCAATTAGGACCTAACCCTCTTTTGGCACCAACAAAAGCCATCTTCAGCAATTCAGGCATCAGACATTATATCACATGGACCCAAGAAAATCTTTCTTTCCTCCCCAGCAGATGTTTATGAGAGAAAACAAATATCCAAAACATGAACCACCGAGGAAGGAAAACAGCCAGACCCCTCACGTGTAAGCACCAGAGAACAAGCAAATGAAGATGAGGACAAAGGTACTGGGCAGATTCCTGATGTTGCCTTTTGTCTGCAGCACAATTCTGAACAGGGAACAACTCCATGCGCGCCTGATCACGCGAAAGGAATTCCCTAAACACCAGCCCTGCCAATCACAGGTCTTTGTGTCCACAGGTTTGAATTGTCACTCCTGATAGGCACGGCTCCAATTCCACACTGATGCACATTGCCCTCGGCCCTATGGTTCTCGGCACTATGCAGCCAGCTGTACTCTGGGTCTGTATTTCCAGTTATCAGTAGGACGCTTCCATGGACTGACCAGCTGTCATCTCTAATTCATCTTGTCCTAAACCACCCATCACCTCTCACACTGACTTCTTATCCTCAGTTCTGCTATTTCTGTCAGCAGACTTAAAATTATTCTCTGGTTTTAGGCGAGACATAATTTTCTTTTTCCTTTATCCCAAAATTCAAGTCTTTTTTTCAAAATGTTTCTCAACTTAGCAGCTTTCTTTCTTTCTTTTTTTTTTTTTTTTTTGTTGAGTTGGAGTCTCACTCTGTCACCCAGACTGGAGTGCAGTGGCCGGGACCTGCTGGGCTCCGGCGATCCTTCTGCCTCAGTCTTCCAAGTAGCTGGAACTACAGGCGTGCGCTACCACACCTGGCTAGTTTTTGATTTATTGTAGAGATGAGGTCTCGCCAAGTTGGCCAGGCGGTCTCGAACCTGTGGGCTCAGGCAATCCACTCACCTCAGCCTCCCAAAGTGCTGGGATTACAGGCTGAGCCACCAAGCCCGGCTTGCTTCCTTTCATTGTCACTGCCACTATCTCAGTCCAGGAAGTCATTGCCCCATACCTGTTACTCTAGAGACTTCCTAATGTGACCTCTCAAACCCTTCTCCTCCTCTGCCCAGTCCATTCTGTCTCCCACTGCCCAACCCATCTTCCCACAGCACTGCTTTCATCCTTTCTCAAAACCCCACAATTGTTTCTCATCTTATTCTATCAAGTCACAATGCCTCTGCCTGGCCTTCTGCAGCCTCCATAACACTTCTTCTGAAAACAACTGCTGCTTCCCTTTCTGGTGTCTGCTCTTTGCTTCCCAATGAGTCCTTATACTCCTCAACAAATATTTACTGAACAAATATTGGCCCTGGCAGTTGTGCTTCCTGGTGCAGGTACCCCCACATTTTAGTCCATTCCCAACCTTTTTCTAAATGACTCTTTACTTATTTGACTTGAGAAGGATCTGACCCACCATTGCTTGGTAAGGTCATCATTTCTAGCTAAATGATGGAGAGAAAGTGAAATGGGGGGAAAAAGTGATTCTTGTTCTAAAGAACTTATAATTAAGGACAAACAATAAAGCAATGAACCAATACAACAAGTAAAAATTCAACAAGAAGCTATGCATTTATAGAGCTAAGAGTAAAGCACTATGGGAGCAGAGGAAGACACAGTTCATCTGACTGAAGAGATCATGAAAGAGGTGGCCCTGGAGCTTATATATGACAAGATGAGAGAGGCAAGGAATGATGGGAGCAAAGAGGGTTATGGAGGAATGTGAGTAGATGGTTAAGCTCAGAGCAGATCTCGACCAGGTCATGGCCATTCCTGTCTCTGCCTTTACCTGTCTCTTCTCTCTAGCTAGAAGGTCCTCCCCTGTCCACCAATCATCATACCTTTCATATCTCACACAGTTTTCAAAACTCAAGCTCAAATTCTAGTTTCTTCACAGTGAAACCAAAGATTTATTACACGTGATTATTCTTTCCTGTGTTCCAGTAAAAATTACACTTGATAGAAATGGTATGCTCTACTTTTTATGTTCTCTAAAAATAGAGATTCAATTCATTGAATCAGGCTGGCTGCAGTGTCTCATGCCTACAATCCCAGCATTTTGGGAGGCAAAGGTGAGAGAATTGCATGAGCCCAGGGGCTTGAGACCAGCCTGGGTAACATGGTGAGAGTTTGTCTCTACAATAAATAAAAAAATTAGCCAGATATGTGGCACATGCCTGTAGTCCCAGCTACTTGGAAGGCTAAGGTGGAAGGATCACCTTAGCGGAGCAGGTTGAGGCTGCAGCTGTAAGTGTGCCACTACTATCCAGCTGGGTGACAGAGTGAGACTCTGATTCAAAGAAAAAAACAATTCATTGAGTCAGTAAGGCAGAATAATGACATTAAATAAATAAGGCTCCCATAGATGTCCACATTCCTATTCCTGGAATCTGGGGGTATGTTACCTCACAAGGCAAAAGAGACTTGGCAGATGTGATTAAGGTTAGGGACCTTAAGATGGAAAGATTATTCTGGATTCTCTGGGTGGGCCCCATCCAATCACACGAGTTTCTATAAGTAGGAGAGGCAGGCGAAGAGGTGTGTCAGGAGCTGTGACTTGAGAAGGATCTGACCCACCACTGCAGGCTTTGAAGATGAAGGGAGGGGGCCAAGACACAAGGAATGTGGGCAGTCTCCAGAGGCTGAGAATGGCCCTTACATGACAGCCAGCAAGAAAATGGGTGCCTCAGCTTGTGACCAAAAGGAACTGATTCTGTCAACAATCAGAATGAACCAGAAACAGCTTTTCCCTTAGAGCCTTCAGAAATGTGGCCCCACCAACATCTTAATTTTAGTCCAGTGAGACTACATCTGACATATAAAACTGTAAAATAATAAATTTGTGTTGTGTTAAGCCACTAAGTTGTGGTAATTTGTTATGGCAGCAATAGAAAACGAATACAGGCCCTATGTTTTCTTAATGGGTAAAGGCCAAGATTCTTAAAAACATGGATTTCTCATAAATATACAACATTTAACAATTCTGTTGGAAGAAAAATTCTATTTCATTTAAAGCACGAAGAGCAGGGAAAGCACTTTAGTGTTTTAACTTCTCTGTTATTAAGGAATCAGGCAGAAAAACATTACAAGAGGAAAATCATCATTTGCAGTAACCAACCACCATGTTCAGTCAGCACCATTTGTTTTTCCAGGGGATCATTTCTCCACAACCTGCAATTAGGATACTTTCTAACACCAGAAACTATATTCTAATCCTGTCATGTTAACCTATCATAGTACAGTCATGCATCACTTAACAATGGGGATATGCTCTAAGAAACGGATCACTAGGGAATTCTGTTGTTGTGTAAACATCACAGATTGTACTTGCATACACTAAGGCTGTGTACCCTATGACCTATCTAAGCTATATGGTACAGCCTGTTACTCCTAGGCTACAAACCTGTACAGCATGCTACTGTACTGAATACCATAGCCAGTTATAACACAATGGTAAGTATCTAAACACAGAAAAGGTACAGTAAAAATACAGTATTATGATCTTATGGGACCACCATTGGATATATGGTCTACCATTGGCTGAAGCATCATTAATGCGGCACCATGACTATATTTACAAAGGGTTAGATGCACCATCCTCATTCAATAAACTAATAAAAATGTCTATTAACTTCTGCTCTGGTTTCAAAGCATAATAAATTTCAGACCCCCATTTACTGAGTACTTAACAAGATCTACTGTATTGGGTGCCAAGGGAGATGCAAAAACAAATAAGAAATAATCCCTCTCCAAAGAGACCTTTCTAATACAAACAACTGTAATACAAGGCAGAAAAAAATAAGTGCCAAGAGGGATGCAGAAACAAGGTGTAGTTAAAACATTAAGGGCGATTTGGGGATTTCAACATAGTAAGTTCAAAAAAGTGGTGGGCCTCTAGCCAGACATGAAAGTCTTACATTGAATTAACGAAATAATTTTGAAGAATGCTGTAAAGATGTTTGCATTTTTCAATGTTTTTAAACATTTAGAAGTAGCATTTATCTATCAGCCATTGCTACCAATTCTTATTTATTCATTAAAGCACGTAATCTACTAGGCAAAACTTCTTTAACCTGAGCTGAGTTACATTCTCTAAATTCATTAGGTTTTATATCTTCAAATATTTAAAAGTTCAGATTAATTGTTAACATAATAGGCGGGATTACTCAACTTTTGTTGTACTACCAAAAATCCACTCAGCTCATTATACAAAATGTAAAACTTTTTCCACTTCCATTGATTTTTACACTTTACTCTGTCCCATGCCAAAGGAATTAAGGAATGTCTGGGGTCACAGTGAGAAGGTGCCTCTCCTAAGAAGTGCATATTTAATTTTTACCATCTTAAAAATCTTTTGTTTCTTAAATTCTTTTACTCAATCAAAATTTAATCAACACCTACTATGTGCCCAAGGCCAAGCAAAGGAATACTATTAGGGAAAATATATTTATAAGTGGTTGCAACAAACCAATCACTTAGCAAATATCTCCTAAGTGTCATCTACATACCATACATTCTCCTAGTAGAACCAGTACTTCAGGAGACCATGCCTAAGGGGCTCCTACAGAAATTTCTCTTGGGATAAACAGTATTGAAAAAGAACACCATAAAAGAGTGAAGAGTCACAGGATCAGAAAGCATATTTTTTTAAAGTTTAATTTTTTTGGTAAAGACAAGGTCTCACTATGCTGCCCAGGCTAGACTTGAACTCTTGAGCTCAAGCAATCTTCTTGCCACTGCCTTCCAACGTGCTGGGATTACAGGCATGAGCCCCTGCACCCAGCCCAGAAAGTATATTCATAGGTTCTTTTATTCCCCACCGATGACATCTCACCTTATGCTATAAAGATCAGATGATGATGTGCTTTAAAAATATTTACCAGAAAATTTTTCCGCACACATTCTATTGATGCACACACTCTGGTTTTTACACATTTTTGCAAGAGAGATGAGAGGGCAGACCAGGGTCTGTGTGTAGGTGAAGACAGACAGGAAATGTGTGGAATGGAGAAAAAAGAGCAAGGAAGTGTAGGAACAAAAATCGTTTAGGGTAAAGGAACAGAGGACATTCCTGAGTTTATGACATAATTTGGAGAAGTTGTGTATGCCACTTTCATCTAATCAAGGAGGACTTCAGGAGTGATGACAGCTTTGAATTGAGGAATCAATTACTAAAGGGTTCAACATGTGTTCTGGAAGTCACAAAGGAAAGTCAGGAAAGTGATTTCATAAGCAGACAGCAGTTGGTCTTTTTTCCCTGCTTTTATGGAATTATCCTAGTTTCCCTCCCTTTGGAGGTTTTCTAAGAACAGAAATCTACACTGGCATTTCAGAGGCTACATGGTGTACTGGGTCTATGCATGCTCTGGAACACAACACACCCAAATAAAGAGGACAAACAGAACACATTCTTGCTGCTGAAAATCTCCTTCCTTCCCAGCAGACTACTATAGTGTTGGGAAATAATCTTGTAAGAGAATCAATTTTTGAGTACATGAAGCTTGCTCAATGAATTCAGTGTGTTTTCCCTGGGAAGACTCAAGGCCACAGGGAAACATCTGTCTATTCTCTCAGCAGTCACTTACACTATCCTTACCAGATGTTCTGACTCTGAGCCAGTAACAGAGACCAAAATTCTCTTTGTCTCAAAGGTGGTTAATTAAACTCCCACAGATTCAACATCTTGCCAAATGTGTATTATGATCATTTCTATGTAATTTTCACTAACGGACTTTAAAGTTGAAAAAAAAAAGATCCTCTACACAAAATGGGAGTCCATTCTCTATCTTTTTAGATTGGCAAAAAATGTTTGATGATACCAACTGCTGCTGGGCATGCAGGAAAAGGAAAAGGTTACTTTTGTAACAATAATGAAGGAAATAAATTGGCTCAATTTGCCTGGAATAATCTGACATTCTCTATTAAATTAAAAAATATGCATGTACCTTGACTTAGCAGTTTCATCACTGGGAATCTAGTCTGTAGAGGTGTCTACAAACATTCACAAGATATAGCAGAAATGAATATATTTTGGTTATCTTTTCTTCTTCTTCTTCTTTTTTTTTTTTTTTTGAGTGGGGGGTCTCACTCTGTCACCCAGGCTGAGTGCAGTGGCACAATCATGGCTCACCGAAGCCTTGACCTTCTGGCTCAGGCGATCCCTCTGCCTCAGCCTCCCCAGTAGCTGGACTCCAGGCACACCTCCATGCCCAGATACTTATTTTTAAATTTTTTGTAGATACGAGGTCTCGCTATGTTGTCAAGCGTGGTCTCGAACCTCTGGATTCAGGTGATCCTCCTACTTCAGCCTCCCAAAGTGCTAAGATTACAGGCATGAGCCACCGCACCGGGTCATGTATATCTTCTTGAGAGACAATGGAATGTCACTCTTTTTCTAGAAGTCATGACTTTCCTTGGGGACTGAATACAAGAGCTTATGTGAAGCTTTACTTACCTATTGTTCAATGCTCCCCCAATGTCACAGTCACAAGGTCGACATCCATCCAAATCATTGCTTAAACCCCAGTGCTCTGGCTGCAGAACAAAAGATTAAACATCTAATGGTGGGTTCCTGTCATTATACAATAGACTCAGCAAGGAACACGTTAAGGCATGTTTAGGTTTTCTACCAAACACTCATTTTCACTATGAAAGCAGAAAGTCAACAAAAGAAAGGAGCATTCCTGAAGTAAAGAAACTGGAGCTGCTGTCACCAGCGTCAGAGAGTTGTACATAATCACATGCTTACACCAGATCACAGATCTCGTTTCTCAGCCCTACAAATAACCTCCGCCCAACAATTAATATGAGCAAGTAGGAAAGGTACCGATTTTCTTCATTAGAATTACTCTGGCAGTAGGAGAGTTATGGCAAATATTTGGCAGGCCCTTACATTTCCCCCCAGTTCAGTCTGTCATAAATCCCATGTGGGAAGCCCTCCAAAGGTTTATCTCTGTGGAAATGTAACCTATAGCTAGAACTAGTCTCACAACTGAAAGGTGAGGAAATCACTGAATCTTTGGAGGATTAGAAACAGAAATAAAAAGAAATTGGATAGTATCTATATAGGGAAGAAAAGCTTTTTGTATTTCAAAAATGAGCACAGTTTCATCAATTTATTTATTTTGTTACTATTATTTTTTGTAGAGATGGGGTCTTGCTATGTTGCCCAGACTAGTTTTGAATTATTGGCCTCAAGTAATACTCCTGTTCCAGCCTCCCAAAGTGCTGGGATTACAGGTATGAGCCTATGCCTGGCCAATTTATTTATTTGTTTATTTTTTGAGCTGGGGATCTCACTGTTGCCCAGGCTGGACTGCAGTAGCACCATCACGGCTTACTATAGCTTCAACCTCCTGAGCTCAGGCAATCCTCTTGCCTAAGCCTCCCAAGTAGCTGAGACTACAGGTGTGCACTACCGTGCCTAGCTAATTTTTTGACTTATTGTAGATTTGAGGTTATGCTATGTTGCCCAGGCTGGTCTCAAACTCCTGGGCTCAAGCTATCTTCCTGCCTCAGCCCTATATTTTATTTAAAAATTTTTCTTAGAGATGGGAGTCTTGCTATGTTGCTCAGGCTGGTCCTGAACTCCTGGCCTCAGGCAATCCTTCTGCCTCAGTTTCCTAAATCACTGGGATTATAGATGTGAGCTACCATGACTGGCCAGGTTCACCAATTTAAATTAGACTTTTCAGAATCTATTTTAAGAATCTATCAGGATTCTATATAAATATACATATTTAGTGGTCATAAACATAATTTGGGACCAATGAATCCTCCTAAATTATGAATGCAGTATAAGAATGTTATGAAAGATAAAGAATTTTTTTTTATCCTATAATTATTCTACTCTGAATCATTACAGTGAGCTTTTTGGTGTTATTTCCTTCCAGATTTTGTTTTCCTTAATGGATTTTTTCCCCTATGTAATCAAGATCCTATTCACTTTGTGTGTGTGTGTGTGTGTGTGTGTGTTTATAACAGCATGAGCATTTCTTGATATTGTCATTTTCAATGGCAACCAAATATCACATTGTATAGAAGCCTCCAAATTTACTGAACTATTTTTCCATGTCTTTTGCTCTGACTAATAAAAGATGCAACAAGACTTCCGGTGAATACATCTTTGTCTAATTTTCTGATTATTTCATTAGGATAGATTCCCAGAAGCAGTATTACTGGGCCAAAGGGTATGCATATGTCAACAGGCCACTGAAACATTTCCAAAATGCTTTTCACAAAGTATGAATGAGTTTGCATTCCCATCAGCAGCAACAAAGTACCAGCACCTCAGTATGTCCTCACTAGTAGAATGCATCTCGCTTTTAAAAATGTTTGTTAATTTTGTCTGTAAAAGTGATACTTCACCATGGTTTTGTTTTATGATTCTAACAGTGACAATGAACATCTTGTAAAATTATTTATTTGTAATTCCTATTTTATGAACTGTCTACTTTGTCTTTTAACATTTATACATAAAGGTGATGGTAGAATCAACAATGGAGAAAAAGTTTTCCCTATGAAAACTTGTCATACTCAAAAACTACCTATCCCATGTAATGAGGATTTACCTACCAGGCACTGGTCACAATGCTGTCCCATCACCAGACGCTTGCAGTAGCAGTGTCCCGTCTCGAAATCACAGGGATTCCCGCCTGGAATTGTTCCCAGAGGATTGCAAGCACAAGCTGTATTAAACAACAGGACGTAGAGAAACACAGACCAGGTGAGTCCAAAGTAGTAGTCTGAATTTAGAACTGCAAAGTAAAGGCTGGGCATGGTGGCTCATGCTTGTAATCCCAGCACTTTAGGAGGCTGAGGTGGAAGGACTGCTTGAGTCCAAGAATTTGAGACCAGCCTGGGAAACACAGTTAGACCTCATCTCTACAAAAAAAATCAAAAAATTTAGCTGGGCACGGAGGCATGTGCCTATAGTCCCAGCTACTGGGGAGGCTGAGGCAGAAGGATTGCCTGAGCCCAAGAGATCGAGGCTGTGGTGCTGTGACTGTGCCTCTGCATTCCAGCTCGGGCAAGAGTAAGACTTCTGACTTAAAAAGAAAATTGCAAAGTAAAATGGGAATTCTGAACACAGGAGAACTCTCAAACTTTTCAGCAGATAGACTTACATTTACAACCAAATGGATCTTCAGCACTTAAGTCATAGAAGCCTTCTTTGCAAACATCACAATGTTCTCCTTCCACGTTTAATTTACACCTACATTGACCAGCAATGAGACCGGCAGAAAAATCAGTATAACTATCACAAATCCCCTCATTCTGAGAACCAGCTGGGTCACATGTACATCCTAAGAAAGATAAAAAGTACCAGGTCAAAAGCAGCAGCAGCAGGAAACACAATGTGCCTCTGTATAACTACATACGTCCCTTCATTCTTCTAAATCTCACAAAAACGGACTAAAGAAGGTGCAACTACCAAGCAAGTTCCACTTCCAGCATCCTAGAGGGCAACTAAAATAACAATGGTAGGTCTGCTGCTCCAACCACAAGCTCTGAGAGAAGGATTTACTACAGTTCATTTCATTTGGAAAGCAACCTGAGGCAGATTCCATAGGCTGAGGTTTCCCAACATACGTTCGCAGAGGTTAGGATCTCGGATGTCTCTCTCCGGGTGCTGGTAGTAAAACGGTTTGCACTGCTCACAGTTGCGTCCCATGGTGTTGTGCTGACAATCATCACACACGCCTCCACTGATGTTCCCCGTGGCCAGGTAAACGGCCATGTCGAAGTGGCATGAGCTGGAATGTTCATTGCAGTTACACTCTGTGTGACAAGACCAACGTCAAGAAAAGCCTTTTAAAAATCAATGGACCAATGGAGAATAGGGTGGTAGGAAGGAAGCTTATTTAGAAAACCAGGGACTAAGTTCAGGCTAAATGGCAGTCAATGAGAAGGCTTTTCTGGTGGAAAAAAGGACACATCCATTGATGACATTGGTTTAAACCCTAATGCAGGTTAGAAACCTTAAAAATGTGAACTTTATGACATGAACACAAACACATTTATCTGCCTTCTTAGGAAGAGAATGGGGTATTAATGATAGAAAATCTCAGGGAAAAGCCATGGAAGCTCATGATAGAAGGAAGGCTGCCATTGCATTGAGGATGCTTTTGGGTCCTGCTCAGGGTGGGACTGGATGGAAGAATGTTGCACTAAAGGACCTTCCAGGTGATGCGTTCCTAGGAAATCGTGTTTGAGTTTCCTGCTCTGAGGAACACAGTTTGAAGGATAGATTTCTTCCTCGTATTTCCACCACCACACCAGGCAGGCTCTACAGTAAGAATTAAGGTCTGTTTAACAGTCATTAAGCTGGCCTTCTTAGATGCAGCATTGCTCTCTGTTAGCCCACTAGGCAGAGTTATCTTGGCCTAAACCAGCTTTGATCCTCTCACACTCAGGCTCAACAATTATCTACACCACTTCCTCTTGTCTTCTCACAGTGAAGCTTGATTTAGTCTGGCCCTCCTGGGGCTCCACACTCCAGCCTTCCCACCTTGTCTGTCCCCCTTCTCGCAACGGAACATCCTGCAGAGAGGGACTGCATCTTACCCACTGAAGCATCCTTGGCAACTGGCAATGTATTGCTGTCTATGTAATGGTTGAATTAAACCCCACAATCACTCCCCAGTACAGGCTCTGCGGTGGTCTTAAGAACGTCCTAGGAGCCTCATTCTTTATGTTGTTCTCCTTATCTGAAATCCCTCCCACATTCCCCTCCCTTCCACATTCTCCTTCTCTTCTCTCCTTTTCTCTCCTCTCCTCCTAATCAAGTATTCATCAAGGGCCAGCTGGATTCAACCTACAAAGCCTTGACCACTCCAGCTGTCATTGGTTTCTGAACCTCGAGAACAGTCCTCCTCAGTAGGAGCAGAGGCAGACATACTCTTCAAGGGGAGGACGTGTGAGGAGTAGGGAGGGGTTGTGGTGTTTCACACTACATCTCTGCCAGAGAAAACCACTGTGAGGGACAGGCTGGATGGAAGGGTGCCAGAGGCTGCAGCTGGGCTGGCATGGACACAAGGCCAAAAACTCTACTCCATATCTCTTTACCTTAATGGGCTGCAGTGCCATATTTTTCTTTCATTTTTCTCTCAGGGTCATCTTGCCTTAAAAACCGGTACAATGTCAGGGACGACATTTCAGTCTTTCACTATGGTTGCCAAACTATCCAGGTCAGTGCCAAACACATAGGTGCTGCTCAGTAAATATTAATTTAATAATTTAATTGAATGAATAGCACTGGTTTCCTAGAAGTATCAGTGAAGGTGAAAAAGAGGCAGTAATCGTTCTTCCTTCTACAAAACAGCCCACTGTTACAGTGCCTCTAATGGATACTGAAGTCTGAAGTGATTCAAAAGCTCCCTTTAACAGAGACTTACTTTTACAGGCATTGCTGTTTCGACCTTCAGCTGGTCTCCAAGGTAAATCATGGTAGAAATCCATGCACAGCTCGCAGTTCAAGCCCCTGGTGTTATGCCTGCACATGCAGTGCCCGTGGACCTTGAACGTTAGAAAAACAGGAATGAACAAAGCAAGGGATACTCACAGCCAAAGTGCTCCACAATTGAAACAGAAAACTCTTTCCAAACTAATCTCTAGCGCCATCGCAGAGGAGATCTTTGTGTTTATTTTCTCCCTCCTTCCAGTGACTTCTGTATGTCTTGTTGATGGCTACATGGCCTGCCTTTAGAATAGTTTCTATTACATAATGGATGCACAATCAATATTTTATTAAGCATCTATGAAAAGAATCCAAATGAACAAAATCAGTTACTTAAGATTACAAAAAAAACCTAGCTACTTAAGAGTTTTAAAAAATGATTGTAATCGAAATCTACAAAAGTTATAATGCAGAACTAAATGCAAACATACCGCCTGGGAGCCAATTCACATTACTGTAAGTTTTACCACTAGGCCAGTAAACTATTTCTTTTAAAAGGCTTTTGGAGCCGGGCTCGGTGGCTCAGCCTGTAATCCCGCACCTTTGGGAGGCTGAGGTAAGTGGATTGCCTGAGCCCACGGGTTCGAGACCCGCCTGGGCGGCGAGACCTTATCTCTACCATAAATCAAAAAATCAGCCGGGCGTGGTAGCGCACGCCTGTAATTCCGGCTACTCGGAAGGCTGAGGTGGAAGGATCGCCGGAGCCCAGCAGGTCGAGGCTGCGGTGGCCGGGAGCGGCCACTGCACTCCAGTCTGGGCGACAGAGTGAGACTCCAACTCAAAAAAAAAAAAAAAAAAAAGGTTTTTGTTAGCTTATTTTATTGTTTTTTACTTCAGGCACATGCTTAAATTTTTTCAACAAAAATAACATTTTTAAAACCATTAGCCACATTTACATTAATTTTTTCCTTTTATGCAAGGAAATACAAGCACTCAGGAAAAGATATAAATTAATTTGCTTGATGAGGCCCCATAATGCACTATTTGTACTGTATCACTATAAGGCATGCTTAAGATCCCTAAGGCTTATAAATGATAAATAGATGTACAAGGGGAACTCACCTTAACACTAGTTTCTATAGAATGGAATTCGAGAACAGGATAGACGGGTCCATCCTGGACCCACCTTGATAGGACTGCAGTTAGCAGAAGACTAAAATCCTCTCATTACCAGATGGCTTTCCATAAGCTGAAAGCCAGTTCCAAAGCACATACCACAATCAATAAATAGTATGTACTGGGAGACCCATGAAAGTAACAAGACATTAGCTACATAGCAGACTTGTTACACTATACAGGAAATATAATCTACCTAGCAAGCTTTGAAAGATATATAGATAAGATTAGAAAGACACATCTCTCCCTTTAGGCCCTGTTAAAAATTCAACTTTGTTAATGCAATAAAAGTTCTCACTGGAATAAAGGGAAAGCAAAAGTTTTAGAAGGGCTGAATACACTCAATCCTGCACCGTCTTTGACAAGGACTAACAATCTTTGAAAAGGCCACAGCAAGTAAGCAAGGCACATCCTTCATCAAGAAGGGAGGAGGCCCACAGTTTAGCTGAAGGGACCCCAGCTGGGGTAGAGTCAGCAGAGCCAGATTCGAGTTCCTACCTGTTGTGCTGCTCATTTACTCAGGGCTCTCTTGCAAACTACTCTTCTATCAAGAAAAGTTAATTTAGGAGATCTCGTAAGTCTTATCTGCGTTAAAATCCCCTAGGTCTATAAGAATTCTACAAATTGGTAGAATACCTTAACCCCCCCTTTATCCATTTGGCAATTCACCCAAATTTCAAACCACACATAATTTGCAAACATGGCATAAGAGTGGGAAAGGAATGAAATTAGAATGAAAAGACAGAAAGAAACAAACTCCCTGTGATCCCTCCAACAATATCCCAGGAGTCTGAGTTAAAACTTCAGTTTCTTTCGACTGAGATCAATTTATGCCTTCTAGCATAAAAACAGAATGCTTGTGGGTTTTAATCTTCTCTAATGTAAAGGCAGACACAATTGTTATTTAGACAACCTTTTAATCCTAGTTTTAATCTTACTTTAGCAACAGCCTGCAGCAACAAATTCCAAAAGTTAATTTATTGTCTATGAAATGAGCAGTCTGTACATTGTCATAGTTCAAGAGAAAACCAACAATCAATCACCCAGTCTAGTGCAAAGGGCTAAGCGCAAGAATGGAAGTCTGGAAAAGTAAAAATCCCTGGAAAATGTAAATGGCTTAAGGTAAGAGTAGCTTCAATTTGCATTTTCGAGTCACTGGTATAAAGGAAAAAGCCAGACAGAGGGCTCACTTACCATTCCTTCCACCTCTTCATCGAATCCGTCCACAGGGGCACATTCACTGGCATGGCCATAGCAAAAGCAATTTCCTCGAACCACCATATCATAAACTGCATAATAGTACTTTTCCCTGATTTCCATTCTGGAATCCAGAAGGTTATCTCCCAAAGTGTGCAGTTTCACAAACCTGATTCTCAAGTTGGTGATTTTTAATAAATCTGCAAAAGTCACCAAGAAGATGAAAAGTCTGATCAAGTGAGAATTATTTTTGCGTTGTTTCTCTTTAGAGAAAGCCATGGCAAATGGAAAGAGCATCAGGAAAGCTTCCCTCCCTTGTCTAATCTAGATGGCTCCAACAGTAAAGCCTAACATAAAGTCACAGCGACTAGAAAAAGGAATGGCTAGCTACATTCTCATCAGTTCAGTAAGAGTGTCTAATCTGTGATGAGTCTGTCTGTGGACCAATGTTTCAGGAAGACGTGTAGAAGCAGAGAAATTATAAGAATGCAGTTGAGTGAATGCTGGATTACTATAGGATGGCACATAGCAGTCTAAAGTTCTGTGGTACCATTTGGTTCCCACAGCAAATCGTCAGTCTCAAAACCAGAAAATTCCATTCAGGTGGGAAAGAATTTATCCAAGCACTCCAATTCTCATTGTTATTATAAGATAGTTAGAAACATATTTTTGTGTCTATTTTTAGAGGGGAAGATACTATCTGAAATTTCCCACAACTTAAATGACATCCAAGTTACCCAAATAGATTTAACACTATAGAATAACTACAATCTAAGGACTATCTCAAGTTTTTAAGCAACATTTCTGTCTACAACTTTTTTGTCCTAGTTTTACAAAATGTTTCCACATTTATCAAAATGATATAGTGATATAAGCATAAAGGGGCTTATTACTAGAACGCTGGGGCAAAATTATTTTTTCCCAACTACAAATTACTCATAAATCAATGCTATCTTTTCTTCTTTTTCCTAAATCTGTAGGTTTAGGCTTATTACAGAAGCTGGGCTATCAATTACATTCTGTAGTAACTAGGTAAAACAAGAGCCATCCAACTTTTTTTTTTTTGAGTTGGAGTCTCATTCTGTCACCCAGACTGGAGTGCTGTGGCTGCTGCCGGCCACTGCAGTCTTGACCTGCTGGGCTCCGGCAATCCTTCCGCCTCAGCCTTGCAAGTAGCTGGAACTACAGGCACACGCTACCACGCCCGGCTAATTTTTGATTTATTGTGGAGATGAGGTCTCGCCAAGTTGCCCAGGTGGGTCTCAAACCTGCAGGCTCAGGCAACCCACTCACCTCAGCCTCCCATAGGGCTGGGATTACAGGCTGAGCCACCAAGCCCAGTTTAACTTTTCTTCAGTTACTACGTTGTTCTTGCTGAGCTGGGTCCCAAGATGTTGATCAGTCCACCTGTGCTCACAAGCTCTGTAGCCTGAAACTGCTCCTAAGCTTTACTTTCATTTATGTTGATGCATAAGAATATGTAATTTACAACATAAGACAACAGGGTAGTGGTCCGATGCATTGGATATTTTCAAAGCCCAAATGCAATTTTAAATACTTATAAAATATGCATAGATTACAATGAAGCTATAGAAATGGTTGTGGGTAGGAAGGGAAAGTCCATGCATTAAACTTAGATTCTTTGTAAAACAAAAAATGAACAGAGAAACCGTGGTACTACTTAGCTGAATGGCAGTTATGAATGCCAAAATTTTCTCCTGCACAAATCCTCCTGCACAAAATGAGCACAAGCGCCTATTGACGAGAGGCCAAACAACAAATCTGAAGAGCAGCTGGAGTATTTAGAAACCCTTGAACTGATCTTTGTGGAAACCCTCAGTAGAGCAAATATGCTCCCCCTGCTCTCTCCTGCCATATTTAACAACAACCAAGCCTCATCTTGACTACTGGTCTAAGAGGCAAATCACTTTTGAAGTGAATCTCAGAGGTCTCCACAGTAGGGGTGTCCAAAGCTCCTTTGGTTACAAACTAAATCAAAAGAATAATCCGCTAACACCGATGCTTCTGTGTAATATAGAAATAGACTTTCTGATGCCATTCAAAACAAAAGACAAGAGAATCAAAATGATAAAGGCAATATATTCCCCAAGTCCCACAAATTTCACCTAAGGGGAGCAGACAGTGAGTACTTTCAGAGACTCTTAGCAGGAGGGGAGACAGTCTCACCCTCACTCTGATGTTCTGGACCAGTTCTATGCAAGACCTCAACAGCCACGTGAATGGCAACGATGACAGTTGCAGCTTCCATTTATTGGCACTTTCTACATGTCAGGATTTTCGGTTGGTCATTTACATACATCAACTCATTTTCCCTTAGCAACCCTAAGGTCAATACTAGCATCTCCCTTTACAGGTGAAGAAAAGAAACTTAAAAAAAAAAGTTTCAAGTCTATTATTTGCCCCAGGTCACATAGCTAAAATATCATAAAACCTGGTTTAACTAGGTCTGTCTGACTCCAAAGACCATTCTTTTCATTCTTGTACATTCTGCCTCCCAAGAAGATCAAAATGTAATTGTGAATAAGTTGTATATAATTGTGAATAGATCAATGAAGAATAGTGGCTAAGTGTGGTCAAGAGCTCTGGCCTGAGCACCATAACATTCAGGTTCAAGATCTCACTGTCATTTAATTGCCATCTCACCTTATGAATAACATCCAACTTTCTGAGAAACACAACCCTCGACTTATTGAATATACTGAGCCTGGCAGAGACTTCTGATTTCCCCCCAGTGTTTGTTCTTCCCTTCCTTTGATAATGCAAGTGCCAGCCAAGAGTTGTAGCAGAGCACATGGCCAGTTAGAGATCTTTCCAGAATCTCCTGCAGCACGGCCACATGAATAATTTTGGCCAATGGGATATGAGAAGTGATGTGTACAACTTCCATGTCTCACCTTTAAGTGCAATTTGCTTGCCCTCTACTTCCTCCTCCCCCACAGGTTGGGATGACGACATCGTGATGATGGTCTAACTCTAACCATGTGGATAAAACTGGGAACATGGGTGGCCTCATAGCTAGTGTTGTCAGATGTAGTGAATGAATATATAGGATGCTCAGTTAATAATTTGAATTACAGAGAAACAATCATTTTTTAGTATGAGTATGTCCAAATATCACATGGGACATAGTAATAGCAACCACAAATATTTCATGAGACACATTGGTACAAGTCACAGATACTATATGGGATACATTTACACTCAAAAAAGAATTTGTTGTTTATTTGTAATTCAAATTTAATCGGGCATTATCCTTTATTTTATCTACTAAGACTAATTATGGCAATTGAGCTACATTTCTTCTCTGGAAATTCCTCTGGTTGATTACAAAAGAGAAAGAAACTGCTACCTTATTTAAGCAATTGTATTTTGGCGGACACTTTGTTACAAAAGCTTAATCTATAGCCTAATTAAGATGCTTAGTAATAAAATTAGGCATAACAATCAACATATTTATGTATTTATAGCAGAAATTTTTTACTCTTATCAAAATGTGTTCCCTAACAGGGAAGACTGATGATGCTAATTTCAAGACCTTTGGTCAGGTATTATAAGCAAGGAAGAACACAAAGAAGGTGGGTTTAGCCTGGACTATTTAGACTGAGTCGTAGGAGTGCTCTGGGTAAGACTTATTACATGACTGCTGTTTATCATCAAAGCTTTCACAGGTATTTGAAAACCAGCTTACTCTGTATCCTCGGGCTATAAGGATCTTCTATTTTGAAAGCAGGATCTAAAGCACGAAATATCACCTAAAAGTGGATATAAGAGCAATTGGTATTTTTGCAATAGTCAAAAAGTAGATTTGCAAATAGAATGCAAAACCAAGAAGCCAACAAACCTCTCCTTCGGTTGAGGGTTCGATGTCAGAATATCGGGAATCGCAAATTATATCATCAACTTTTTTCATGGGGCCAGTTGAGATGCCTGGAAAGGAGCTCTCACAGTCATAGGCAAAGTATCTGTACACACCCCAGGTTTTCCCAAAGTCAGACGATCGTTCTATCAGCATAGCAGCTGGACGGAATGTCTAAAGGTGGGAACAAAAGTCTCATTTAATATTTTTTATTGGCAGTCTGTATATTTTTAAATCTCAGGTGCAAACGTCACTCAACTGTGTGCCACAAACACTGACTGCATTGGTTGGTATTTCAGACTGTGGCTGGATTTCAAATACTTCAAGCTGTTCCATGGAGCCTCTTCATGCAAAGAAAGTGTCTAGACTCCAAAATTTGCACTTTCCCCCACCCTGCTAGATTAGTAAGCTGTTTTTTATAGATGCTGATTATAAACAGACCTTAATAGCAAACACATTTTGATATATTTAGAGTCACAACATCCATAATAGGATTGGTTAAAAGTGCCGTTTCTTTCATTCATTAATTTAATAACTCAATAAATGTATAATGACTTCTGGCTCAATACCAGTCAGTGGCCTGTGTGCTGTCTATGTTATACATAGTTTAATGAGGCACAGATATAAGTGTAAATAATTTGCAATACAACACATTCAATACCATAGGTAAGTCACAGGCAGTGTGCTTTTGGAAAAGAGAAATGAATTAATAAAATAACTCAAGAAACTGGGAGAATCTAATAATTTCACTGCTATGTTCCTATCCAAAATAATTAAAAATAGGGACTCAAATGGATATACTTGTGCCTGACTATTCACAACAGCACACTATTCACAATAGCCAAAAGGTAAAAACAACCCAAGTATCCAACAATTGACAAATGGATAAACAAAATGTGATGTAAATATACAAATGATATATATATACAAATATTCTGCCATAAAAAGGAATGAAATACTGATACATGCTACAACAAGGATGAACCTTGAAAACAGTATGTTAAGTGAAATAAGCCACACAAAAGGATACATATTGAATGATTCCACTTATTTGAAATATCTAGAATTGGTAAGTAGAGACAGGAAGTAGATTAGTGGTTACTAGGGGCTGGGCAGAGGGGGCAATGGGGAGTTGCTGCTTAATAGCTACAGAATTTCTGTTTGGGGCAATGAAAAAGTTCTGGAAATAGATAATGGTAATGGTTGCACAACAGTGGGAATATACCTAACATCACTAATTTGTACATTTAAAGATAGTTAAATGGTAAATTTTATGCTATACATATTTTACTACCAAGGGAAAAAAAAGCTAAGAACACTTTATAGAGCGGATGGCATCAAATTGGATCTTAAAAAAGTGACAAGGTGGCTGAGGACGGTGGCTCATGATTGTAATCCCAGCAACTTTGGAAGGCCAAGGCAGGAGGATTGTTTGAGCTCAGAAGTTTGAGACAAGCCTAAGCAATATATGAGACCTCATCTCTACAAAAAAATCAAAAAATAATTAACTGGGTGTGATGGCACATGCTACCCAGAAGGCTGAGGAAGATGTATTGCCTGAGCCCAGGAGGTTGAGGCTGTAGTGAGCTGTGATTCTGTCACTGTACACTGTACTCCAGTCTGGACAACAGAGTGAGACCCTGACTCAAAAAAAAAAAAAAAAAAAAAAAGGGTGACAAGGTGATTTTCAGGTAGGGGTGAAGGTGGCTACAGGTGACAGATGAGGCTGACTGGGGCAGGGTAGGAAGGAATGTGCCATGCTAAGGGGTTTATTTTATCATTTTGCCATGAAAAGTGGATAATGAAAAATTTAAATAGAATGAAATGATCATATTGCACTTTAGAAAAATAACTCTTGTGATAGAGTTATTGGGCATGAACAAGACAAGATGCAGAGAAACCATGTGAAAGAAAAAAAAGAAAGTTTTCACTCAAGCAACTACAACAAGGCTAGAGAGAAATAGGTGGAATTGACAGCTCTGAAAACTTAGTGATGGTAGAATATAATGATTATACTTGGAGATTAATTAGATTTCAGTGGCGAGGGAGAGAGAGGAAAGAAATACAGGCACATAAGATTGGGTAGATGTGTTACCAATGACGTAGACGTGGAAGAGGAGTGAAGGCATTTAGTTGTGAGCTAATTACATGTGTTAGTTACACATGCGTGACCATATGGAGACACCCACCGGACAATTAAAAACAGTGGTCTGGCATTTAGCTACAAAAATGGAGCTTGAAACATGAATTTGAGAGTCATGGTATACACATCATATTTGAACCCTCCAAGTACATGAAGGTCTCAAAAAAAAAGCAAAGGGCAAGATCAAGAAAGCCAAAGTCCATGGTCCAGGAAAATGCATCAGTGACGGACTAGACAAGGAAAACAGTGGTGCCTCTAACACTCATTATGTTATTTCATTTCACCCTCCAGTACGGATAATTTGTTTATGCAAAACTCATGTTGCAACTTACTCCATACTTTAGAATGTGATCATATGTGGAGATAGGGTCTTAAAAGAGGTAATTAAGGTAAATTGGGGCCATTAGGGTGGGCTCTAATCCAGCATGACTGATGTGTTTATAAGAAGATTAGGACGTACACATGTACAGAGCAAAGATGGTATGAAGACAAAGACGGCCATCCATGAGCCAAGGATGGAGGCCTCAGAAAAAAAATCAACCCTGCTAACACCTTGATCTCAGAAGTCTAGCCTCCAAAACTGAAAAAATAACTGCTTTCTATTGTTTAAGTCACCCAGTCTCACTTTGTGTTATGGTAGTCCTAGGAAACTAATACACACACCACATTTGTCTTACAGATGAGGAAACTAAAGTTCAGAGACATTAATTGACTTGCTGGTTATAGGCAAAGCTGAGATTCAAACCCATGCTGAATAAGAAGACCAAACCTATCTTTCTCCCTCATTGAAAATGGCATAGAAGACTGAAAAATGGGTGTCAGAGAAGAAAGAGAAAAAAGGCAGCTTCCTCAAGTCAATGCAGGATGGAGATTTAAGAGGATGTGGTAAACAGGGTCAGCTGGAAAGAAGAGATGACGCAGAACGAGCACTAGAAACAGGCAAAGGCTTCTACACTGACACACACAGTGAGTGCATTTTGGGAAGTGGAAGTCAGATGATAATGGAGGAAGATCAAAGAAAAGTGAAGCTGACCTAGAAAACAGATCCTAAATAAAGACACTCACTTCTGAATTAAAACCAGTACTCAACAAAAATTTAGGTGAGAGTTAATGATGAAAATTAGAAACATGCCTAGGCCTCCTTTTGTCTTCCTTAAGTATCCTGCTGGCCTTTTTCTCTGACAAAAGGAGTCAAGGGTAAGAAAATGGAAGACAACATTTTGACAGATTCTTTGACTTTTTCACTCACTAGTTGCTCAGGTTCTTATTTCTCACCTATCCAGTAATATAAGAAAATGATAATTTATTAAACTCAAAAGAGTACTAGACTAACAATTCTAAAGTAAGGGGAAAAAAAACCCAATAACTAACTGAAGCACATGTGCCAAGTAGCATGGCAAACTCCCCATGAGACCAGGCTTCTGGCTGGCGAGACTTGGGGAGATAGAGAGGAGAAAGTTTATTTTCATGTCTCTGGGTCAGAGGGAGAAGAGAGAAAAGGCATTAAAGGCAGTCCTGGCTGTGCTTCCTTCTTCCTCCCTTCTGGAAACTACTAAGTCCCAAAGGGCCATTGAGAGTCATCCAATTTCCTGTGGAGTTAAGAAGCTGCTAGAAACCAGAACAACACATTTTACCTAAAGAATGGAAGCCATTCCATGTTCTTTGCTCAGTCAGTAACTTTCTCAGGCCTCATGTTGCTGTGCAGTTGCCTCCAAATTTATAATAAACAAAGATATGAGTGCTGAAACATCCGGCTATACACACACACACACAAATACTGCACTTTTGCAAGCCTAAATCCATTTAGCCGTCAGCCATCTCCATGGCAAACTTGGGAAACAATAAACAAGTGTTCTTCATCATCCCCGACCTCAGTTATCTTCCTGACCTCACTACTGTGAGTGATATCATCATCTTCCTACTAACTTAGCTTGAACGTCTGAGTAATTTTTGATTCGGTCCGTTCTTTCCATTGTTCTGCTTTTAATATTTTCCCACTTCATGGCTCAACTTTTGATTCCAAAGGCTCCAAGTGACTGCCCTTAGAAAACAGAGGCTCCACCTCTCGACAATGATTCTCAAAGGCGGCAGTAGCAGAGGGGATCAGAATATGACAGCAAGTGGATTCATGCAGTCTGAAAAAGCTCCAAGTGATACTTACAAGGCTACTGGGTCACAGGGAGAGGCTCCCTCCTACTTCAGAACCACAGCCAACTTTTGCAGTAACACTAACCCTCCATTAACGCTGACCCCAACTTGCCTTCTCTTTTTGCCAACCCAGTCTATCCTCTGTGTTTCCTCTCATGCTACCTTCCTAAAACACAGATCTAATTTGTTCCTTAATGGCTTGCATTTTCTTATAAAGGCCACATACCTCAGAAAGCAGTCAAGGTCCTTTGAGTCTAATCTGCTTTTCCGCTTTTACTTCCCTTTCCTTCCCTCACTACCCCAAGCTTGAGGAGACTCTATGTAGTAGTTGTTAAGCAAACCCTGCCCAGCTGTCCCACCATCAGAGCTTTCTTCTCAGACTGTTTCCTCAGCCACGATGGCCTTTCTTCCATCTCCTTCCACTGACATCCTGCTTACTCTTCCTGGCCCTGGTCAAGTCCTTTCCTCATGAAGCCTTCTCCTTTATCTGAGGCTAAAATTAATCTCACCCTCCTCCATACTAATGTACAGTATCTGAACTTCTGCTATGGCAGTTAGCACGTACTGTCATGTATTATGAGTTATTTGCAAGTATTTCTTTCTCCCCTAGAAGATTGGAAGTTTCTGGAGAGCAGGCACTAATGTTATCTTTAAAATCTTCCATAGGACTGAGGGTAGTTTCTTATAAACTGAAGATGGTTGAATCCATTCATCCACTTGTTTATTCAGTAAATATTTGTCGAGCACTTACTACATGCCAATCATTAGCATTTACACAAACTATCAAGTTCCCACTACATGCCGGGGCAGCAAGATGAGCCCTACTCCCAGAACAGAGGGGTACATCACACAATCCTATGATATAGACTGGTATTATTCCTCTCCCCATTTTACCAACGAGGGTGCCAAAGCTCTGGCCACCCGCACCAGTAATGGACAGATGGGATTCACACCCAAGTCTACCCAACCCCATCCATGTTGCTTTGCTCCCAGGAGCTAGACCTAGAAGGACAAGTTTTCACCCATAAACTAGTCTGACAACTTGTACCCATTCTTTATGTCTCAGTTCAATCATCATCTTCTCTGTTTGACCTTCTGCATCTATGTGAGGAAGTTCATCTTTGTTGTAATGTACCAACTACAGAACATGTGCCCAAAGGACTTGTGGATATAAACGAATTCAGAACTAGCCATGTGCAAATGGAGGCCCTCTCCAAAGTAACAATAGGACCACAAACATTAAAAAGATGCTTTTGAGTATTTGTAGGTGCCTTATAACATAAAGGCAACATCCTCACGTGTGGGTGTCAATTTAATCACCAGGGTGAGTGTGTGGTCAATGAAAGGACATGGCCTTGGTGACAGGGAGTAACTGACGAGCTATTTAGCAAAAGCCCTCCTCACCACCCTCAATATCAGGTGTCCCAGTCACAGTATAAACCTTCCCACCCCGGCAGTAACAGCAGCCTGCTGGGGCAATAGCAAGGGAATGAAGAGATCCCGCACGGCCCAATGTCCCTCCTAGTCACATTCTGACTCCCACACCCACCCTTGCCCCTTGGCCTCCCAGTTTTGGTGGCAGACACAGTGAGACTTTCGTGGCTACTTGCCCGCATGGTAAATCTATCCCTGGCACTTTTTCCTACCCTGAGAGGGTGCAGATAAGGCCCTCAACTCCAATTGAAATCTATTCAAAAGTGATTTTAATCTGAGAAGCAATAAGTAAATTATGGGTTTTATGTGTGCCAACGTGTACTTTAAGCCATGTGAAGTCTGTCATTTCCAAGCAGCTGCTTAAGAAGAAACAAAGGGACTTTGTACAGAGACATTCCCTAGTTCTGGAGTCATTTTACACCTCTAAAAGAAAAATGATGAGAAAATCCACATTGAAGAAGGCATACGCATTTCTTAAGGAAATGTAAAGCTGTTCCCACAAATTTTGCAAACTTTGAAAACTAAAGATAATACACTTCCTTTTCAGTTACCAAACTCAGCATTAAAACATAAACACAAGGGATTAGGAATTTACTCTCCAGATGTTTTACTGTGGTTTGGGAGAGAATCAATGGTGCCTTCCTCTAGGGGAAAAGAAAAAGATACCTAATTAAAAGTTTACAGTTGGGCCAGCATGGTGGCTCAGGTCTGTAATCCCAGCACTTTAGGAGGCTGAGGTGAGGGGGCTACCTGGGCCCATGGGTTCGAGGATAGCCTGGGCAACTTGGTGAGACCTCATCTCTACAATAAATCAAAAAACTAGCCAGGCGTGGTAGTGCACGCCTGTAGTTCCGGCTACTTAGAAGGCTGAGGCAGACGGATTGCCGGAACACAGCAGGTTGATGCTGGGGTGGCCATAAGCATGCCACTTGCATTTCAGTCTGGGCAATGGAGTGAGACTCCAACTCCAACTCCAAAAAAAAAAAAAGTTTACAATTGAACTACCGTAATCATAGAGGCTCAAGTTCTACTTATGACCATGAAGACAGACTATTTGTTAAATGTAGTTTTTCATGCCCATGTTAAAAAAACTGCTTAATTATCCTAATTAATGACAGCAATAATATTTAAGTTCCCAACTCACAACAGACACCGTTTTGAAAGGGGAATTACACAGTGCTCTCAGATGTCATTGTGAGAAAATTCTAGATTTTTTACCTTGAAAGTCATTATGAGATGAGTAAAATGGAATTCCGCTTCCAAATCCAGTTGAATAGTTACATTTTCCACACCTATAAGAGATTTTTTAAAATAAAAAAGGAAACAGTATGGTAAAAGAGAACATCTGTGAGTAGTTGAGACTATTTATTAAAACTATTTTTATTTTCTGCATAGAAATCATCTTTGCATTCTACCTTTAGCTGAAGATAATAATAATCCTTTGTACTTATTTGGTGGTAAAATACAAGTCAGAATAATTCTCCACAAATCATTCTGGAGTTCAACATATTGAATCTGCTCACTGGAACAGGACATCTGGCAGAATGCCTCTAGCTGCCATCAAGAAAGACATCTTTTGCCTAGGAAGAGTGAAATATCTTCCCAACTCTCTGAGCCAAGAGACTCTCAAAGGAGAAAGGGGAGGGGCACTTCCTGTGCACAGTAGGGGGTCAGCTTGCAGTCTGGTGCACAGGGACACAATTCTTCTTCAGTAGAAACACAAATATCCCTTTTACTTTATGCAGCAGCAAAGAAAATAAATTAGAGCCTACCACATATGTTAGTTATACTCCAGTTTAGAAAACCTATCCCTGATGGGGAAACCTTTGGATGCATTTCCACAACTGAAAAACAATGCCAAAGAGACAAAGAATCAGTCAAATAAATAAACTGGCTCAGAACAAATACTAACATCTTCCCTTTCAGGGGAAAGCCTGAATAAACAAATGAGCCTTTGCACTGTGCCCTGAGGGTCAATCAGTCCCACTTTAACACGCTAAAAAGGCCACTGGAATTCCAGAGATGGAAAGCACCTCCTCCCCAATCCCTAGGGCTCTCAGGCTCGCCTGTTTGGTAAAGGAAAGAATATTCCATATCTTCTGTGTTTGAGGGAACTTTTGGGGTCCATCTTCCAGACCAAAAAGAAGTCTTAAATGCAGGAAGACAGGAATGTGTCAGAATGAATTATGTCACAGGCTGGTGTATTTTCAGGAAATCAGTAGGACCTTTTGAAATAAACTCTTGTGCTGGAAAACTGCCAAGTCAATTTGGGGGGGGGAAGTGGTCACTGGAACGGATATGAGTTAGTTGGAATGTTAAAGAAAAACATTAAAATCATACTAACTAACCTTATCTAACTTATTAAAAAGAGCCATATTACAAAACTAGCCTAGACATTTATTTTTGAGTGAAAATGTTAGCTAAGCAACTACATTAGTGAAATGTTAGCAAAGTCTCTCCTCTAGGCTTTTAAAAACCTGTATTTGTTCAAAATTAAGAGATAAGGAAATAATGTAAAGCATCAAGCAAGCCTAGTGCCATTTCCGTAACATAAGAACATACACTGCAATGCGTGCACCGAAAACACATTCCATTTAGATGATAACCTGATAAAGCACTACAGGTTTTGTTTTGTTTTGTTCGTATGGGAAGAAAAACCCATGGAGGAAAAAGCCAAAGTCATTCTTCCATAATATATTTGATTTCTGTCAGATCTAAGAAAGATCATCATGGAGGGTAACTCAAAAGTAGCCATACCTTGCAAGCCTGTCTCTGTGCCTGAACACTGATAATTTAACACTGCCATGCCTAAGCACAGCTTGTGCAAAACACACAGAAAACAGATAAAATCGCATTCATAAAGAAAGTTTTCAATTGTGAATTATTAGAAAACAGAGAGAGGATAGGGTATAGTAACAATCAGCCTGACTTTCTAAAGACTAAGTTCCATCAGTCTAATCTCATCTAATCTCTTGTGACAGAGTGACAGAGAACTCAGGCCCCTCTATTTGAAAATCTCTTCTTTCTGGCATTTAGACTCTTTTGTCTCACAGATTCAAAGTTGTAGAAGTTGATTAATTCTACGTCACTAAGAAAAACTTCCTTTACAACTATAGCATATGTAGCTGGGCGTGGTAGCACGCGCCTGTAGTTCCAGCTACTTGGAAGGCTGAGGTGGAAGGATCACCGGAGCCCAGCAGGTCGTGGCTGGAAGCAGCCACTGCACTACAGTCTGGGTGACCAAGTGAGACTCCAACTCAAAAACAAACAAACAAAAACATCTATAGCATATGAAAACTGTTTTGCTATCTGTCGACTAAAATGGGGACAGCCTTGATCCTAAAGCTGAGGCAGCCTCCTTTGAACTTTCCATTTCACTGGAAGAACGTGGGGAATCAGGAAATGTTCCCCAGTTCCTGCTCCTAGGAAGCTCTATGCTGTTTCAGAAGTCCTTTGTGATGCAATACAGATTTACAAAAACTTCTCTTTTATACAGATCAACCAAGATAATCCTATATCAGAATGAACATGGCTCCAAGTGACACATGCTTTTTGAAGATGCTTTCATCTCAGCCAAATTTGTAACCAACGGATTTCCAGGGCTGACCAACGAACAACAAACCCTCCTGAGAAACCAAGGACCTTCTAGGAAACATCTGCAGTTTAATAGTCAATGATAAGGAAGTCTATTAAGGGAGTTTCTCTTTGCAGAATGATAAATGACCGAAAGCATCCATCCAAATGCTCTCCAGACATAGGACATAGAATAAGTATATCATAGTACATGGCCAGGCTTAGGCTGCTTCTTTGAGGGGCCTTTCTCAGCCTTTTATTTTTAAAAGGTCTAACGATACCTTTCCAGTTAACAAACACACTAACTCTATGTTTATTCCCCAAATCTCAGCATTTGAGTTTGAAACATGTTAAACTCATCTGGGCTTAGTTTCATGGCAATAGTAAAATCATAACTCAATGAAAACCCAAATGGCAAAGTAAAGGGGTTGAAGTCACATGATCATTGGGGGAACTGTTTGACTTGGGGTCATATCCACATTGAAAGAATCTTTGAAAAATTATATTGTAGGACTTGTTCATAGTCTTACTACTACTATTTTAATATTTTCTGTAGATGGAAGAAGGGTGGGGTGGCTGTGATCCTGACTTTTCCTTTGGGGCCAATCAAAATGAAAGACGTTATGTTCTGTGGAAGAATAAGGACCTAAGATCGCACACGGTCTTCCCACGCTCTCCCCAGACTGCCCCTGGTACATACACACTCTCCCTAAAGGCCCCCTCAGGATGACGACTACAAAATACTCCTTTGGTCAAGCATGAAAGGCTGCTTTCTTATAAAAAGTGCATGCTTCAGGAAGAAGGATCAGATTTTACCAAGAGAAGTTAGTGCTCCAGGCAGTAAATCTGTCAGAGGCCATAATTACGGGACAGAGAAGCCAATCATAATCCCAAACACCCAGGAGCCTGTACACCCCAATCAGTTTCCAATCACACTCCCCCAGAACTGGTTCCCACACCAACCACATACCATTTTCAGATTGCCACCAAATCTTCAGGCGGTTTGGAGCAAATGTAGTGACGACATTTTCAATGAGATGGCTGTCAGGATTGAGGGTCTCATGATAAGGATCTTGGGAATCGCATATGAAGCATTTTTTGTCCTCCTGAAAACAAAGTCAGCATCATGAGTCTAGAAAGCAATCTCATTTTAAAAAATTTCTTTTAATAAAAAGTTCCATCAGGTTCACAGTACAAAAAGCAAACTTACTAGCTTCAAGAAAAATGAATGTGTGAAAATCACTTAAATGACTTACATCATATCTTTCTCTTTTAACTTATTGAATCTAAAACATGCCTGAAAATAATTTCCTCCTTTCTTGCAAATTCAAGGTCAAAAGTAAAAGAGGGCATTGTTTCCACAAGCTATTAATTTAATCAAAATCAAATTTCTGGGCTTAAACCTTAATCTCAATAAATAAATAGCTAGAGAAGCTTACTCAAAGTAAAATGCATAAGAGGTATTAGAGAATTTTTGCTGACATAAAGCACTGAAAATGAAGGGAAAAAAATACAATTCATCTGGCCTGAATAAGGCAGAAACTAAGTATTAGGCAGAAGTATTTAGAGAAGCTTTGGAAACTACAGAATAAGATTTCTTAGCTTCTATTCTTCTCAAGCAGTTAATCTATGGTGGTGGCATGTAGACTAATATATAAATTGCTCAGAATATCTGGGGAAGGGGTACTAGGCTGTCCTGCCATATTGGGACAACTATAGTCTGGAACTAATTCAAATAACTTCAATGTGGACATGAGCTAGAAGGAAGATAGACTACAGGCTTTAGAGTAGCTTCGACATTCTCTTTTTCTTTCTTCTAAAACGGGAGCCATGGGCCAGGCATGGGTGGCTTATATCTATAATCCCAGCACTCGAGAAGTCTGAGGCAGGAAGATTGCTTGAGCCCTGGAGTTCAAGACTAGCCTGGGCAACCTCTACAAAAAAATCAAAAAATTAGCTGAGTATGGTGGTGCACAGACTGAGGTGGAAGGATTGCCTGAGCCCATGATGTTGAAGCACAGTGAGCCGTGATTGTGTCACTGCAATCCAGCCTGGGCAACAGAGTGAGACTCCAACTCAAAAAAGAAAATTAACAAAAAGGGAGGTGGGGGAGCCACGGCCACCGGGGCAGTTGGGTTTAGGAGAGTTCTCTAAACCCATTCCATCATGACAAATCATAAACATTGCTTAATTATTCCCTTTTCTACCTATAGCTTTGTTCAGCACCTACATTTTCTGAAAACGATGTTAAGACTGAAATACATAAAGGCCTACATATGTCTTACAAGCAGCATTTGATCAAGGGTGATATTCTTAGAAGTGCAAAATCAACGGACTATATTCTTGTTTGTGTTTATTCAGTTAGCAATTACCTTCCTCCTAAAAGGATCTGGAGGCTGGCAAGACGAACTAAAGAAAACAGAGACTCAAAGTCAGGGAGGTATGGTGACCCTGGACAAAACAAGCTTCCCGCTTCCATCCTTGTACCCACTAAAGGTTTGAGAAAAGTGCACAACTAGTCCCTTTCTTTAGGCCCTGTTGAGAAAAGCACTTCACAGCTCCATGGGTAATCATATATGGCAGAGAGCTTGGCTCCAGGTGTCTTAAGACAAGGAATCCAATTCTCATTTTGGTCAAAGCTGATTTCAGAACCTGGTGATTCATTTACAGGATGTCCTGGCCTCTCAAGTAAATGTTAGCACAATGTTTTAGGTAAAATGTGAATGCTAATATTAGAAAGGGTAACATCAACTGCCTTCATTAATGTGTAGTCAAGGAAACTAGTACTGGAGAACAATCACCAGAACTTAAAAAAAAAAAAGGTTTAATTATAGCCTCCCTTCTAATCAGGAGGAAGCAGTCTAGACATCTCTGTATAAACCTGGAAGCAAATGAGTGGAATCCACTCGACCACATTCCTTGGGTTTAATTTATCAGGTATCCAGAAACAGCTTTCTGCTTCATAAAACTGGCTCCATCTTAAGGCTTCTGGGGTGCAAACCACACCACATTCTGTTCTCCTTTTTAAGGGCAGGAACACAGGTGGGTGGAGTAACCAAGATCGGAACAACTAGCTTAGAACTTGCCCTCAACGTGAGACTAACACTTTCTGCTTCTGTAAGGAACCAGAAATATCAACCTCCTTTTTAAAAACCAAGAGAAAGTGTTCGGATTCTGGATTGTTTATATTTTGTGTCTTTTAAAATTAGTTCTGACCTTGTATGAATTATGACCTCTGAAACCTAAAACCTGGGTCCACTTTTAGAAACAGGCAGCACCCTGAAATTTCATTTTAGTCTCCCGCTTATCAGGGTACCATGGCAACTAAGGCACTTTGAAACAGCAAGCATCTGATCCTGATATCTAATGGAGGTAGATGGGAACAGCACCGAGCGTGGAAAGACAAACGGTTCGTTCAGTGGTTGAAATCACCCTGTGGGGCCGTCTGTCAGTGCTAGGATACTTTGCCCCAGTGAAAGATGCCGGAAAAACCCAAGATCACTGCTTGGTATCTAAAGAGGATAAACCACCTTGACTGCACACTTTCAAAAAAAAAAAGAAAAAAGAAAAAAAATATATTTTTTTTCTTTGTTTTTTTTTTTAAAATTTTAAATCCGGGCTTTGAGGCACTGGGTCGGGGCAGGGGCAGGGGCAGGTCCGTCTGTAGCCCGGCCTTTTCCATACAGACCGCGCCGGCGGCGGCAGGAAATGTTTGGCGGATTGCAACTGTGCAAACTGAGATGGGGCGAAAGAGTGAGCTACCAGCCTAATCCCGGGACTCCCCGGCTGGCTGCGCTTCCTATCTGGACTGCTGACAGGATGCGGAGTCCCCTGGGCCCGTCTCTCAGGTCTGGGCTGGAGGAGGCGCTCCAGAGCCTCGAACCCAGCCCTCTGCCCTCACCTGCAAGTGACTGACGATACAGTAGGGCTCCGGCTGGTGCAGCCCGCACGTCGAGGTCACCGAAAGCCTCTGAGCTCGGCCGATGAGAAGGTCGCCCGTGGCGGGGTAGCAGCTGCCTTCGGCGCAGCCGTAGCTAAACTCGGGCTCTTGGGCGCGCGCTCGGGCTCCGCACAGGGCTGCGGGAAAGGCAGGCGACAGGGGGCGGGAGGGGTGTGGGTGAGGGCAAGCAGGGAGTGGGGCCGGAGCAAAAGGAACAAGGGATGGGGGGAGGGGAGGGGAGGCAGAGTCAATTCCGGGGGGAAAAGCAGAACGCACCGGAGACACACAATGGAGAGGCCGGGAAGGCAGGAACTCCGCCAGGAAAAGGACGCGGAAAGAAACCCAGACACGTCATCAGGTTTGTCCAGCAGGCGAGAGCATCCCTCCCAGGAAACCCACCGACGCTCGCGCCCACCCGGATCTGCCCCCGCGGGAGCGCCTCCCACCGCAAAAGGCGGATGCGCAGACCCGCCGCCCCGACGTGTCCGGGGCCGGGCGCAGGGAGACTGCCCCCGCAAGCCGCACACCCACGCGCGCGTGGGCCCGCGGGCCCGCGGCAGCCCGCGCATCCTCGGCGTGCGGCTGCGAGTGTGCGCGTGGACATCCGTGAGCACGGGGGCGCCAGAGTGTGTGTGCGTGCACGCGCGAGGGTCACCGCGCGTCGCCGGGGAGCCAGGCGCCGCGTCCCCGAACGAGGGGCCAGCGGACAGTCCCCGGGGCTCCGGAGTGGCCTCAAGTCTTCGCCATTCCAGGGAAGCTCCCGGCCCAGATGTTTCTGGTACCATCCAGAGACAAACAGCGATGGTTAATTAAAGCCACATGGCCCCAATCTCTTCCCGGGACGAAGAAGCCCGTGCTCGGCTCGGGCACTTTCTTGGGCAATGGGTTCTTAGGGAGACACCGGCGGCAGGCACCGCCACCCCGGGGAGCCTGCCCTTCGCGGTGGGGGAATCCAGGCTGAACCGGCCGAGGACGCAAAGCCCCAGGTGGCGGCGGCGGCTGGAGCACGCAGGAGCCGAAGCTCGGGGCGCAGAGCCCGGGGATGCGGGTGCGCGGCGCTCCGCGTGCGCCTTCTCCAGCCGAGGCTAGGGCGGTGGCGTTTAAAGCCCGGGGCACTTCCAACCAGTCCCTCTCGCGACCCCCCCCGGCTCCCTCGAAGGCGGGGAAAGCAGCTTTGGGGTTTTCCTTCCCCGTGCCCAAGCCCACCCCCGCCCCCGCACCGTGTCCACGGAATTACCTAAGAAACTGAAAGCGAACACCTGGAGCAGCCCCATGTCCGCTCCCTGCAGCCCGGGGACACGGCAGAGGAAGGGAGAAGACGCCCGCCGAGCCGCCTGCCCTTTCTTCCCGTCTTCCTTTCTGGAGAGGTGGAGGGGAAAGAGGCAAATGTTTAGAGAGAGGAGAGGGGCCCTTCCATTTCCTGCCGCTCCCACGGAAGCGGGAGGCGGGCTGGGGAGGAGGACAAAATCGCGCGGACACTTTGTTCCCCTCACCCAGCGATGGAGCGCTCTCCCAGCCCCTGGCAGCCCTCGAGCCCAAAGAAGGGAATTAGAAAGTTTAGCCTTGGGAGGAACCGAGGGAGGCGCCTCTGCTCATGCGCACTCGGAGAGCAGGGGCTGAGGGGGCGGGCGGCGGGAGGCCGCGACTCGGCGGCGAGGGGGTGAGGGCCAGGTCCCACCCCCCGGGGGGCCTCTTTTGTCTGAAGGCCGCGTCCGCGGGCGCTGCGCGCTCAGGTTCTCCCAGGTCCCGGCGTGGGGCCGCGGGTCCCCACCGGGTGCGCGTCAGGGAGCCGCGCGCGAAGGGGCCGTCCAGTGCGGGGGTGGGATGC